ACTTAAAGATATTTGGTGCCCCTGAAAAAAAAAATGTCATAAGTATTTTTCTCTTTAACTCAATAAAGCATTTTATTATTTAATTTTCAATTTTCAGTAAAAAAACAAAAGAAAAGCAAACGAGCATATATATATATTTATCATTTTTGAACTAATTATTTACAAAAAGAGCAATCGAGAGTTTATTCCCTTTTTTTTAAAATGTTCATAGAGTCGTTCTTAAGAGCAATGTTTTATAATTAATTGATAAATGGGCCCGTCAGATACTCTCATTCTTTGGATCCATATTAAAGTGCATATTCAAGAGGAATGGCCATTCAACAATTGTTAGTACTTATTTGCACCTAACTTATTTTGTTAAAACTTATGTTGATTGTGCTAAGTCTTGTGTAACCATGCGAGATCACATATAGCAGAGCCTCTTCATTTTTATTTTCCTGCAATTTTGTTCCCTATTAATCTAATCGAAGAATAAAGAGTCAATTTACAAATTTGCAGTTCGGGCATTACGTACACAACATTGAACTAACGTCCTCTGATTAAAGAACAAAACAGGAAGGTTCAGAGCATAAAAGAATAAGGTTCAAATAATGTGTAAAGTTATTCCAATCTATTCAAAATTCATGCAATGCATTTAGGTCATACTCAAGCACAACACAACTATTTGCACCCAAATTGTAAATTTGGAAGCTTGAGCTTGACTCAACTAAATCTGCTTTAAAATAATTTAAAAAAAAAAGAATATTTATGAAATCTTAGCTATTAAGTCAAGACTATCCACACTCCACCCATGATGAGTGACTACGATAGAGAAAGTGTTTCCTAAATTCAAGGAAAGTGGTGATTATGGGACTTGAACACCAAGCCAGGATCATCTATAAATAGAGGAGCCCTCTCTTAATAATCATCATTAGCATCAACAAACTACCAGTCTCAAACTTCGCGTCTGCTACTTTATTTTATTTTTTCTTTTATCATGTAATTTAAGTCTTTATTTTCGGTTGTAAGGCTAGCGTAGCCCCGCCACCTCTTTCTTTAATTAATGTATCTTTGCTTTCCTGTATCTACATTAATTTTCTTCACTTCGTATTCTCACATTTGGGTGAACTGTGGTAAGGGAGCCCGGTTCCCCGCGTTTGATTAAAAGCTAGGTTCTTCCATCCTTTTGAGACCCCGCATTTCTAACACGCCTCGCGACACCCCCTTTTTATTTTTGCAAAACAATTTTTGGCACGCCTGGTGGGATCCGTGAGAACGGAATGCCTAAGACACGTAAAGATCAATATATTGTTAGAAAGAATAGACTTGAGTCTTATGACTCAAAAAATATGGCTGTACACGCAAAACGTGAAGTATAAGCTAACGAGAGGCAAAGAGCTATGTTGTAAACTTTGAAGGATGGGCTAAGGAACATCTCTGCTATGCTGTCTAAAACATTGTAAGAGAAAGCTCCAATTGGCTCGCACCTTTAGAGAATAGATACACTTGGAAGGCAGTCTCCTAATGTGCACTTTGACCAGAAGATCAACAATGAGGACCGATATAATATCTGTCAAAGGACAAATGGCAAGTCTAATTCAATAGCAGGCCCACTCGTCCATAAAGGCTGAAGCCACAGGGGCCAGCGGAGCAACTGGTCTATAGCTATAGGGGCCAGCACTAGAGGGGTTGGAGCCACTAGGGCCAACGCCAGAGGGACTAAAGCCATTGGGCCTAGCACTAGAAGTGTTGGAACCATAAGGGCCAGAGGAGCCATTGGGGCCAGAACCATAGGGGCCAGCACCAGAAGGGCCGAGGCCACTGGCGCCAAAACTATAGGGACTAGCACCAGAGGGGCTAAAGCCATTAGGGCTAAAACTATAAACTATTTTGAACACCATAACAGTAAGATACTAACACCTTTAAGACTAAACATAGAATACTAAATAAAATAACTCAAGATAACTTCATATTATAAAATTCTAAACAAGTTTTGTTACGTGCATTATGCTTGCTTACATTATGCCATAGTTTTTGCAACAAAACAAATATGAAATGGAGGCAACAAAGCAAAACGCACCAGAAATTATGCGGGCATAATGGACAAAAAAAAGGCAATATAATTGGGGGAAAGGTACACAAAATGAAGGGGGAAGAAGACTTAGGGTGGAAGAACACTTACCTCTAATTGATCTCCAACAAACAACAAAGATGAGAAGAGACAATGGAGAGAAGATAAAGAAGAGACGAATAGCTTTCTTCCTTTACTTGATTGTCGGTGTATGTCGCTTGCGGTTAGGGCATACAAGAGATGAATAGCTTTCCTCTACTCCGTTGCAAGTGATTGCTTAGGATAAAGAAGAGAACGATCGCCTGTGTATGTTGCTAACAGTAGGGTAGGGAAGAGACGAATAGCTTTTCTCTACTCAGTTGCAAGTGATCGCTTAAGGCAGAGAAGAGAACAATTGTCGGTGTATGTCGCTAACAGTAAGGTAGGAAAGAGATGACGGATAGCTTTCCTCTACTCGCTTGCAAATAATTGCTAGGGTAGAGTAGAGAATGAGCAACCTCAAAATTTAACAACCAAATAAGGGTGTTTCGATCATTTCTCATTATATCAAAATGTCACTTAACAACTTGGGGACTTGATTGGCCTTTTAGAATTACTTGAGACTGGATTTAATTAGTCCCTTTAGGACTTAATTGCCATTTTCCCAATTGTAATTAGACACTAGAAAATGCCCCACAAAAATGCGAAGAAAGAGTATCATCCGGAAAAAAAAATGTAAGGAAAGAAATAATTATTCCAATTGGTGGATATTCTGTGTAAAGGAACAACTTTATGTTGGTTTACTTTTTGGACCACCTGTATTTTGTTTTACTTAACCCTACTGATTTAAAATACAAAACTTTATTCTTTTAGTTTTTAAACTATCGACTGGGTTATATAACTCAATCCTTCCACTCGATATGAGTAGATCTTTGAATTATTAATTTATTTATAACTCCCTCTCTAATTTTTTTTATTTTTTACAAGTTGACCCCTTTCCTTCATAACTTGTTGTTGAGTCATCCAACATGTCAATTAACGTAACTAGCGCCGTTAAATGAAGATGGTTTGGCCTCCATATAGGATACTGATTCAAAGAAAGTTTAAGCGTTTAGTTAAGGAGGGAGAGTTCAACAAAAAAAGAGGGGGGGAGGACTTGTAGAGTGGACGAAGTTCAATAACGAGCAGGAATATCACAAAGGAAGTTACGACTCCGCGAGAAGAATATATTAATTACCTTGCAACTTCTCCACTCTATACTTAGATACACCCCTTGAGAAGCCATTGCTGATTCTTCTTCGTCGTAAGCCCCTGTCACGACTGAAAAATAAATATTGAAGAAAGACACGAAATGCGTTACCTTGGAAAGGATGAACAAATAAATATTAAGGAAAAGTAAGAGAAGTTCCCCTGTTTAGTTTTCGAAAACCAAAAAACGAAGAAAGAAGAAAGAACTCTACCTTGCTTCCCTTTCTTCCCTTTCTTCTTCTGCGTTACGTTCCAAGAGAGCTTGTCCCACAGGTGAGTTTCAAATCGACCAATCCAATCTATGTCTGTTTGATAACCACACATGGAAGACGTCATCCTTGGGTATCTCGTCTATGTTGTTCGAATTATTTTAGAAATTGCTTAAGCAATATATTATTATCAACAATGACAAAAATAGGCAAAGTTTATGAACTCTCTGTTTTCCTCTGCTCTTTTGTTACTGGTAACAGAGGCGTCTATATGACGATTTGGATATTTATTTCATTGCTATTTACGATTTGCATTAAATAATTTATAAAAGTGCATTTGATTCAACAATCACAGGAGCAACTAGCAAAGTTTTGCGGTAGTCCTTTTCCTAATTGCATTTTTGGATAATGCTATTCCCGTGGGCAACTCATTCTACAATTAAGTTCAGACTTCCTACAATCAGTTTCACGGAGCTGGTATTTTTTTTTTTTTCCCTGTGTGCTTACAAATGTTTCAAAGTTCACAAGCCTCACAGGGACGACCGTGTTTCTTCAAATTTAAAGCCATTCATCAGTCGTCGTCATCCCTGTGAAATGACAATAATTAATGAGGTCACATGGCCATTCATTTGCTTGTTTACAATTACTTCTTTTCCCTTTTATTTATTTATTTATTTATTTATTTTTGTCATGCTTAGCCATAGTCTGATGTGGCTAAAATATTTAGTTTCTAATGCACTGCCACATGGAATGGGGTATGGAGTAAAAAGGGCCAACTTATAGACGTTGCAAACATTCAGGACTGAGCTTTAAACGAGTTAATGGTTTAAGAATTAAGTTACTACAAATTATAACAGAAAGATTAAATTTTTAAGTAAGTTAATATTTTAGAAATTAAAAGATTAATTTTTCCTTTACAATAATAGAGATGGCCAACAAAATAATTGAGAGTTGTCCCACCGACCACATCTAATAAAATTTGGAAACATAATAATTGAGAGAAGGAACCAGTTTATGTGCATATCATATATTGGAACAAATGAAAACTCATTGTTGCTAGCCTGTTCAGATTTAATTTTTATAGTCTAGATTTATAATTTTTCAATAGATGTTTTTTATGTAAAAAATTATTTTTTGAAAAACTGATAGTTAAGACACTATCTTTATTTTAAATTTTGTGTCTATTAAAATAATTTTTTTAAAAAAATAAAAGTAAAAAGTTGTAAACTGTACCTTTCATGTCAGATATGAACGATTTAGAGGTGAGATATGATCAGCAGTTTCAAAAGTTATAGCGTGCGTTTGGATTTCACTACGTTTACATTCCAAAAGAAAGTTTTAACTTTTTGAATGTAAAATGTTGTTTGGCTTTTTTTTTCAGACAAAATGCATTTTTTAAATTGACTTTTAAATACGTTTGAAATGAAAAAATTTGTAAAGCTACTCCTACTTGCTTTCAAAACGTGATCAGTTGGATGGACATTTATTGCTGGTACCTAATTTGTTTATTGACCATGATGCCCCTCACTTTTGCAGCTAATACATATCACGCATACTCTCCTCTCGTGGTCCTCATTTGTGCAGCTGATACATCAGTGTTCTTCGTCCTTTGCTGCTGCTCTGTGTCCGCCGATCGTCTGCCGTTAGTCCGCCACTCGTCCGCCGCTAGTCCACCGTTTGGCCATCTCTTCTCCTTCTCTCCTTCGCCTCTCCTCCACCATCACAGATCCGGATCTCTTCCTTCCCTAAGCTTCTCCTTCCTTCATCAACGGTGGCTGCATTTCACCGTTAATTTCTCCCCATCTCTTTTACGGATCAAGCTCATTTTGGGACTTGGGCGGCATTTCGGAGCTGAGAGAACTCCGACCAGCAGCTTTTACAACCTGTGGAGTGCAAAGGTGAATATTCCGACCAGCTCGTGGAACTCCAATCCTCTTCTCCGATCTGCTCTTCGATCTGCAAGGTATGATAGCCTCTAAGCTTTTTTTGTTAGATCTGGAAATGGTGCTGCTTTGTTCTGCTCTTCGATGTGATCTGTTGCTTTTCTTGTTCGGACCACCGTGAAGCTCTGTTCTGATCTGTTTCTTTTCTTTTTTGGACCACCGTGAAGCCACTGTTTTGGTCTGTTTCTTTCGTTTTTCAGACCACCGTGAAGCATTCCGGTCTGTTTCTTTCATTTTTCAGACCACCGTGAAAGCATTCCGGTCTATTTCTTTCATTTTTCAGACCACCGTGGAAGCATTCCGGTCTGTTTCTTTTCTTTTTCATACTGGTGTGAATTTTTTTTAATTGCCTTGTTTTGATCACATAACAAGAAAATATAAGCAAGCAAGAAGATTAATTATGACTGCATATTGTAATTATTCTGTTCCGGTTTGTTTCTTTCATTTTTCAGACCACCATGAAGCATTCTGGTATGTTTTTTTTATTTTTCAGACTGGTGTGATTTTTTTTAATTGCCTTCTTTTGATAGCTTCACATAACAAGAAAAAATAAGCAAGCAAGAACATTATTTATGACTGCATTTTGTAATTATTCTGTTGATTTGCTGATGTTCTAAAATATGACACGGTGTTTTGGAAATATATTCTGGTGACTGATCTATTGATTATTCTATGTTGCTTTGTTTTTTTTTTTAATTTCATTTTGATAAGAATTTAAGCTAATTTATTTTTTGAAAATTGATGAAGGGATGAGAAAGGCTACAAATTTCTGGTCAAACTTGCTTATTTTAATACATACTATTGAATTATATGATTTGAATTTTTGAGTGAGTACATAAATTATCTTATGGCTGCTTTTGAATAACTGCCTCTTTCGACAAGTATATGTGGCTAAGATAACAAGTGGTTAATTAACTATGATCGAATAATCTTTTTCTCTTTTTGTTTCCAAAAAAAGGATAGTAAAATTTTTAAAAAGGATAAAAAAGAATAGTAAAATTTTTAATATTTTAACTCTAACTCAATTATGGATTTTTACTCCTCAAATTTCATTTGTATTGAGAATGTGATATTTTGATAGTAAAAATGAGTAAAGAGAAGGCACTATGGACTACCGAAGAAACCGAATTGTTCATTAAATTAGCTCTCCAGCAAGTTAAGAAAAATGAGCGTAAAGGCTCTACCTTATCAAAGGAGGGTTGGGAGGCGCTAATGCAACAGTTCAATGCTTTGAGTTCAAGAAGTTATGATAAGAAGCAGTTGAAGAATAAATGGGACAATTTGAGGAAAGATTGGAATATATGGGACAAGCTATTAAACAAAGAGACCGGTTTGGGATGGGATAGTGAAAAGAATACTGTTTCAGCACCAAAGGAGTGGTGGAGTCAAAAGATTAAGGTATACAATTATACATGGCATGCTAAACATTTCATATTTTATTTTATAAATATACTAGACTCAATTCTTGTAAATGTGCAGGAGAATCCTGAGTATAGGAAATTCAGGCATAGACCACTTCCATATGCACAAGAATTAACACAGTTGTTCCAGCTAGTTGCAGCACAGGGCACTTACATGTGGACACCTGCGGCTGATGATCCACAAGATGTGTACAGGCCTCAATTGGATTTGACTGAAGGATCAGGAGACAGTGATGATATAAGAAACATTAATGGAGGAGCTCTCCCAGGAATTGGGCAAGTTAACTTGAATAATGCATACAGTGGTGGTACTAATTCAGGGAGCAAGCGAAAGAGAGGTGAAAGTGGTCAAAACAAAAAGGGAAAACGTCTTGCAACGGTGATGGTTGATTCAGTGAGTCGATTGGTGTCCACACAAGAGGATAGGGTTTCAACATTGAAGTCAATTCTTAATTCCATAGAGGGTGGAACAAAACCAGTTGACCAAAATGTGTTGGAGGTTGCAAAGGAACTTTATGGAATCGAGGAGATTGCTTATGATGAGGTGCTTCTTGGACAGTGTGCTGTGGCCTTGCTAGATAAGACCGCAAGGGACATGTATATTGGGCTTAGAGACAACAGAAGAGCATTAGTGGCCTATTTGAGGTGCTTGGGCAAAAAATGAAATTAGATCATCTTAGCTTGCCTTCTAATGTTTTAAAATTTAGCTAGTGTCATTCATGTTGTTAATTTGTTTTGAAACTGACTGTGTTATTTGACTCTTGTGTTATGTGTTTCTTAAGTTAAGTCATGGACAAATAGTGTAATGGTTGTTTAATTATGCTATGCAGTTTTTATGGATGACAATACGCAATCTCGCTTATTACAATTACTTGTACATGCGGAAGACGATGAGATTGAGGCTATTACTGCAATAATATCCAATTACTCAACAACTTTATTGAAAGAGCCTTGTAGAACCAGTTCGCAATCAAGTCATGCATGGGTGCAAGAAATTTTGCAAGGGCATCCTCAACGTTGTTATGATATGTTTCGTATGGAAAAAGATATTTTTCTTCAACTTTGTGACGAACTAGTGCAACATGGCCTACGTCCAACCAGAAGAACAGGGATTCATGAAATGGTCGGTATGTTCCTAAATATTGTTGGACATGGAGTGGGGAATAGGATGGCACAAGAACGATTTCAACATTCAGCAGAGACTGTTCACAGGCATTTTAGAAATGTATTACATGCTTGTGAGAAGCTAGCAAAGGAATATATCCAACCAAAAGATCGCACTTTTCAAGATATTCATCCAAAAATTTTAGGTGATCCGCGATATTGGCCATTCTTTAAAGATACCATAGGAGCAATTGATGGTACACATATCCCGTGTGTGGTTAGTGTTGAAGAGCAAGGGAAATATATTGGAAGGAAAGGTATTCCAACACAAAATATAATAGCCGCATGTGATTGGGATATGTGCTTCACTTATGTCATGGTTGGATGGGAAGGGATTGCTCATGATGCTCGTTTGTTTGACTATGCTCTCACAAGGCCAGACATGAAATTTCCACATCCACCCCAAGGTATATTTCATATTTATCTAATTTAAACAATTATTTTAATATTTTTTGGGATCTTATAATTTCTATTTTTTTATTGGTAGGTAAATATTATTTGTTAGATGTTGGCTATCCAACTCCACGTGGATATTTAGGTCCTTATAGATCTCATACGTACCACCTCCCAGACTTCAGGCGTTCATCTGGATTTACAAATAATAATGAGATTTTTAATTATTATCATTCAAGCTTAAGGACCACGATTGAAAGGACTTTCGGGGTTTGAAAAAATAGATTCGCAATCTTACGACATATGCCTAGCTATCCATTTGTGCAGCAAGTTCGTATTGTTGGTACAACAATGGCTATACATAATTTTATTAGAAGAAAATCTGTAACTGATTCTGACTTCAGGCATTTTGAGGATGAAAATATAGTTAACACTATCGATGATACTGATGAGCTTGCATTTTCATCAACAATTTCAAGTGCAATTTCAAGCATAGCTTCTGATAGAGAAATGAATAGGGTTCGAGATTCTATTAGAGATCAGATTGTATATTATAGATCGAACCATTAATCATGTAACTATTCAATATTAATGAATGTTTAACTATTTATTACATAATTTTTTTCCAAAATTAAATTTTATTTTTTTAATTCTTAATATTTAACATTTTAAATTTTATGTCATTTTAAATTTGATTCACCTTTTTTTTAATATATTACATTTCTATAATAAAAATTATAAATTATCATAAATCAATGTCCTTTTTGGTCATTACATATTAAAAAGTACATTTGAAAAGCATAAATTTTTATAAATCCAAACAACTTTCAATTTGTCAAACTGACTTTTGAAAAAATATATCCAAACACAAATTTCGTTACAACAACTGACTTTTACGAAACTGACTTTTGCCAAATGAACTTTTATCAAACTGACTTTTGACAAACTGAAAACCAAACGCACACATAATATACTCACCTTTTTGTTCGCTCTTTTTTAAGATAAGAAAAACTATTATGGTTTTTATTGTTTTTATTTACAAACAAAACCTATGAATTTCAAAAAACATTTATTATATTTCAAGAGCACATAACTTACTTTCAGAAAAACTATTATGGAGTGTTTTTGAAGGAATTTGCTGGCAGGAACTTCTTCCTAGAACACATCTGTGACTGGCGGAAACAGCAACCCTCTGACTCTGAAATCAATGATGGTTCATCAAAGATCTGTCTGTCTTTCTTCAGATTTGCGTCATGGCGTGCAAAAGTCATTAGAAGGAATAACTGTGCAGATTGATATCTCCTTTTATAATGATCCCATGATCTGTTCGCAGTGGAGGAAAAGGAAGAATACTCACGATCCGGATTTCGCCGTCGAACTGCCTCAGATATAATCTGATGTGGATTAAATCGGTGGAAAGAAATGGCATTTGCAATAGCAGGATCATCATCAATGTAATTAACTCTTCATTAAACACCCTTGAGCTCCCATGCGAGGTTGGGTGTGTACGTAATCCGGTCAGACATCAGAAGCATTTGGCTGAGTTCCAAGAAGCTGATATCTGCAGACTTTCACTTCCTCCGATCACCGTTTCATATTGCTAGCTGTCCTACGCTCTTGATAGCTATTTTATGGAAACTGGGACAGCTGTCTTTTTTTCCTTTGGTTCATTTTGTTTCTTCTTATAGGTATGACATTTTGCAATTGATCTTTTATCAAAATATATTTATACACACACACAAATATATATATATATATATATATATATGTATTTCATTTTTTTCGTATCATCCCTTATAAAGTCAATATTTATTTTCACTAAATAAATTTATTTTATTAATGATAAAGATAATTTATTCTAATTCCTTTAATTTCATATATAATTATAACCCTTAATCAATTTTTTTAAATTGTGTGAATTAATTTTTTTATATTTAAAAATAAAAAATAAATTATAAAACACTTTTTGAGAAGATTCAGTATTTTAAAATATAAAATATTTTAATAAAAATGAAGTTTTATTAATAATTTTTTTTAATAATAGTCTTTCTATTATATTCTCTCTCTCATATTATTTCATGAACAATGTATTAAATGAAGGCCATTTTTAAATGTTTTTATTTTTGTTTTGAAAAATACAGTTGTAAAATATATTTGAGTTTTATTGATATACATGATTTTATTTAAAAATATTTTATAATTTAAAATATAAATGGTGATCTTTTTACCCTAAGTGAAGTTAGCTGAGAATTTATTTTGGTCCTAAAACTTCAATCTCCTTTAATTTGTCTCTTATATTTATTATTTTTTCCAAATACCTTATAATTAGCTTCTTATATGATATATATAAACTTTGTTGATGATATTTTAATGTAAATGATTGAAAGCGGGGATATTTTAGAAAAAAAATTCAATACATAATTTCTTTATAGATAACTAACTAATATAATTTTATTAATATGTGTGAATTAATTAACTAACTCCTATATTTAGATGGGAGTGTCAGGCCAAAAAAAAAACAAGATGGGAGTGAGTAATATACTAATAATTCTCCTAACTTAATTTAACACCCCTCTAAGTAATCTGGCTATAATTATGATGGTGACGCTGTTATTTCATTTCACTTCCCAACAGAAAAATGGACACTGTACTCTTTGGTATGATATATTGTTTTTCATTTATATTATAATTCTAATAATTAACCTTTAAATCAGACCGAATCAACATAACTAGTTCGATTTTCAGTGGTACAGGGGATCAAACTTTGCTGGAAACAGCACAGCTGCCACGTGGCCTGCATTATAATCCACACAGCTTTGCCCGTGTGATACGACGGAAGCTCAATTATGATCTGAGGTCCTTTTTTGAAAATCTATCTTCAATTATGTGACTCTCTCATTTTTCTTCTTGTCACCTTATCATTGTGTTGAATTGTAATCTGCACAACGTCCTCTCAATTTTGGTGCTTCTCACTCAATTGTTGTTCTGCTTCTTCTAACTTCTAACCAAGCTAAGCATACTACTCTAATAAATAATGCCCTATTTAAAATTATTTTTATTTTATTGTTATGAGAATTAATATTCTATAAAACATATTTTAAAAATTAAAAAATAATAAAAACAAATATTTTTTTCATTTTTTCTTATTTTTCAGAACAATAATTTTAAAATATTTAAAAAATATTTTTATTTTTTTATTTTTCAAAACAATATTTTATTTTTTTACATATTTTTTAAAAATATATTATTGAATAGATTTTTTATTTTTATGTTTAGGAGAATAAAAAATTGTTTTTAGAATATGTTCCAAACTGACCCAATCTCTCTCCATTTCTGTTTCATCCCCCCCCCCCTCTCTCTCTCTCTATGCAAACGCACGTCTCTCTGATATTGATTATTCTGAGTCTCATGAATCTCGTATATGTCTTATCTACATTCTCTAATAAAACATAAAATAATTTTCCCATCAATGATCATGAAGAGAGAAGGATAAATTTTTAAATAGACCCAATATATTATTTTTATATAAAAAAATAATTATTTAATTATATTTTTTACTCCTACTATTATTAATATCATAATTAATTTAATATTTAATATTATTTAAATATATTTTTATTAAATTAACCATAAATGATGTAATCCATCGAGTTTATTTAAAAAACTTTCAAGAGATAAGACAAAAAATTAAAAATAAAATTAATTAAAATAATAATTTTACCAGTTTATTTAAAAAAGAAATTTAATTTTACCCAACCTAAAGGTGACAAAAAGATGTGGCCCACACATGCGTTAATTATGATGTGATGTTGCTTTTTGAAAATCTCTCATCAACTATGTGGCTGTCTCATTTTTCTTCTTATCATCTTCATCATTATGTTGGATTATAATCTACAGAGCTTCTCACTCAATTATTGCTCTGCTTCTAACCGAGCTAAGCACACTACTCTAACAGGTAAGTCTCTCTCCATTTCCGTTCCTGCTTTCTCTCTCCCTTTCTTTCCAGGCTCACGCGCATGTCTCTCTGATACTCCTGATTCTTCTTAGGCTCATAAATCTCTTATATGTCATGTCTTCATTTTCTTTCCTTTCAAACAATCCTCCTTTACGCTGTTCCAGGTAATCTTCCACCCTTCTTTAATTTCTTTCCCACCCAAAACAAAATTCATTAATTACTGCTTTTCAATTTTAGATTTTTTTTCTCCTTGCTAGTTTAATGTTAAGATCTTCTCCCTCTATATTATATGTAAGTCATTTTAAATTATTCTTAAAATTTAAAAAAATCTAATTTTATTTTCATTAAAAAGAGAGAAATAAAATTGAAAAAAAAATATTTTTTTATATTATTTATATTAGGGGCTAATAACTTATTTTGAAAGACCTCCTATAATTTTGATATTTGATAGGAAGGTGCTTATGTCATAAAAGATCTGAATTGTATAAATCTTATTTAGTACTCAAACGTGCAAAGAATATGTTGCCAAATTTTATTTCAAGATTCTTAAAAAAAAATTATTTCAAGATTTTTTTCATTAAAAAATCAATTAGTTGAAAAGAAAATGGTGTAGGATTTGTGCCAGGAATTTGATAAAAGCTTGGATATTCACAAGGCAATATCTTAAATGTTGGGCTCTTCGTTTATTCCGAAGTGTTGGACTTTGTTTATGTTGTTGGATTTGTTGATTCTGCTTCTAGTTTGTTGGTTTTGTCCTAGCACAATCTCTTGACTGAGTCACCTTTTATCCTGCAGTGTTGTTTTTTTTTTTTCCGGCCAAATATATCATTTCATTGGGCCACTTTTTAAATATGTAATGTATTAGTCTTTTTTTTTTTTGGTAGAATAATGTATTAGTCTTTAATAATGAATAAGATTTCTTTCCATTAAAAAAATAAGATAATATCTTAAGATCTTGAACTTGGGCTTGGGCCTCAAATTAACTAGATCAGCATTGGACGGAGGAGTAATAATGATTCCGATACCATATATTATAATTATAATTTAAAAAACAATATATAGTGACAATAATTTTTTAAATATGAACAATAGTGATGGTAATTAAATTTATAAAATAACACTAGTTATTAGTAGCTAGGGGTGTGCATTTTACTCACTGACCCGCAAACCCACTCGACCCGTTCAAAAACAAGTCAACTCATTCCCGTTCAATTAGGAAGAAAAACGGGTATGGGCTGGTATTTACCCGTATATGAATAAACAGGCGGATAACGAGTAAGACCGCGGGTGGCCTATACTCCCTCATTTATACTGTATATATTTTTTTATTTTTTAATCTCCTAAAAGACCAATCTTTAACCCAGAATTTGTATATATAAAAGAAAAACAACCTAAAAAGCAGACATAAAAAAAAGCCTAAACCACTTGGCGCAAATCATTCGTGAATATAAAAAAACACCATTCTGAATCTGCATTTCTGACTTTGCCCTAAATCCTGACTTTAAAGTTTAAAAAAACAAAAAAACTCATGTTGCCAATTTGTTGTTATGTGCGATCTGGATGGTGGATCTGGATCTGCAATTCTGCATTGCGTGAGTGACTAAGTGGTGAGTGTATGCCTTAAGTCCTGTGACTGACTCTACTCGTTCTGCCATTTATTGTCACACTTCGCCGTTCGCCTTGTTCTTCAGCTTCTCCCCTATTCGCCTAAGTCACAAGAGAGCTTTACTCATTCGCAGTCGCCACCCGCCAGTCGCACTTCATCCTTGTTCACCTAAGTCACGATCACGAAAGAGCTCCAGTCATTCGCATTGCCGTTCGCAGTCGCCAGTTGTTCTTCACCCTGTTCTTCAACTTGTCCCACGTTGGCCTGAGTCACGAGAGAGCTTTCAGCTTCATCTTGTTCTTCAACTTTAAATCGGTCGGCACAATGTGCAATGACTTTAACTTCAGCTTCCTCTTACTATTTCTCACATTATGCTTGGACAATCTCTGATTATAAATAAATAACATTTTTTATTTATGCTGTTAAGTGGATTTGTGCACCATTGTGAAGACCTTTTTTTTCACAATTTTGCCATGATCTTAAAGTTTTGATGAGTGATGAGTGATTTTTGAAAGTAGTCGTTGCAGGTAAATAGGTAGCCCAGACCTACCCATACCTACCCATACCAATTTGCACCCTTTTAAAAACAGGTACAAAAGGGTATAAGCGGGTAACGGGTCCAATTACGAGTGGCCTGTACCCACCCATTTACACCCTTATTGGTAGCAGAAAATCCAACTTCACAATTAGTAGATAGGTATTCAATTATTTCAAACTTTATTGTTTTTTTTTATTTTCAACTTTCAACTTTGTTTTAGTTAAAAGGATTATAAGTAGAATTGAACTCGTGACTTCAACCACTTACATGGGAACTTGCATGTCATTAGACTATAAAGTCATTCGCTCAACCTTTGGTTTTGGATTATCGATCATTAATAGCTTTTAGATTTTTTTTTGCCATGGTCTTTATTTTTCCTTGCCATTATGACTTTGACTAGGGATGTACACAAGCGAGTACAATGGCCTTACCCATTACCCGCTCATTTAAGGCTAAACAGGTGGCCACCCGCCCGTACCCGCATGTATCCATTTGCACTCGTTTTAAAATGGGGTCAAAATGAGTATGAGCAAGTATGGGCCACCCGTTTAACCTCAACAACCACACATCCATATCTCCAACAAATTCAATCTAAAACACAGACTCTCACCATTGCGATTGCATCAACACATTTGACTATATCAATTCATATGTCCAGCAAAATCAAGAAATCACCAATCTAAAAAATTCTTGTCTCTATTGTTACGATGTTACTGAGTAGGTGAGTACCAACTATAAACACCATAAAATCACAAATATTTTATTTCTTTAAAATCACAAAATCACATATTTAAGAAGTGGGATTCAGCCATTCAAGGATTTTGAAGAGTAGAAGAGGGAGGGAGAAATCAAGCAAAAAATACCCAACCAAGGAACGAAGGCCGACAATGCAAGTAGAGGGAGGTGACTCTGAGAAGGAGCAAGACGAGGGACATCGAAGTGCGAGTATGTGAATATGGTCTCGAGTTGAGTTTGTGCATTAAGTGCATCTCGCGTCGTCGTTGTGCGACTGCATTCTTCTACTTAGTTGGGAGAAGTGTGACTGCGTATCACCATCGTGCAACTGCAATCAGCGAAGGTGAGAATGAGGCTAAACTCTGAAGGTCATATCTTGTATGGGTATGAACCAAGGGGGAGGCAAACGGGTAAACCTCAGCTTGAAGCTCGAACAGTGAAGAAGTAGGAGATCGAATCTGATGAATTGATGAAGTTAGGGCTTGGGTGATAGGGACATACAAGACACGACACAGGGCAAGATGATGAGTGACTAAAATCTAAGTGTGAGGGTTCTGACTTTTGACTAAAGAAAAATGACTAAAAAAAATTATATACGGGCAAGTATAGGCCACCTAAGGCCTTACCTGTTATTCGCTCATTTATAGATAAATGAGTGACCACCCACCTGTACTCATTTTTCTCTTTTCATTTTTTGAGTATAGGTTGACTCATTTAGGAACAGGTTGGGCTGATACCCGGGTATACGGGTAAAATGCTCACCCCTAAGTTTGCCTCCTTCATTATTGGAATTTCCCTCAATTATTGTTGTTTTTTTGGCTTTAAATAATGTTCTATGTTCACTTCAATTCTAAACAATATTGTTATTTTGAAAATAAAATTACTCAACTAATTATTTTATTTGTGGCAAAAGCAATTAACATTTGAGGTCCATATCTATACTCGCAACTTTTGTTTATAATTGTTTTTAAAATCAGGTGGCATTGTCTGAGGTGGAAAAAATATTTGGCCACCATCATTTTTTTAATTTGGGTTAAATGGTAATATGACCTTAAATTATAAGCTTAGAGGTGATTTGAACCCATGAACTAATATATGGTACTCCCTTCATTTAAAAATGTAAGATATTTTTAATTGAATTTCACCTTCAATAAGATAATCACCTACTTTTTAACTAATCATGTCTTTTTATATTTACCCTTATTAAATACCTTACAATAAATATAAAGTCATTCATTAATAGGGGCACTTTTAAAAAAAATGGCAATGATTACATCTCAAAAGACTAAAAATATTTATATTTTTAAACATTCAATTCCTCAAAAAATATTTTTTATTTTTAAACAGAGGAAATATATATTGAACTTTGAATAATTAAACCTGAGACAAACCTCTTACAAAGCAAACACCCATTATGTGTGGGTCTACAAATTCTCTCTCCTCCCTCTGTCTCTTCCTCCTCTGGCTTTGCTCCTTCTTTTGAAAGTATAATGGATTCTTTGAGACCAAATCCTCCTCTTTTAATAAATAAATTCACCTTAAACTCATTTTCATCTACTTGTTATTCTCATCATTCTTCACTTTAATTTATCTCTACTATTTTTTTCAAAGAAAAAAATTAAAATAATAAAATACATATTTTTTAATGTCATCTATATATATCTAGACATATTCTTAATAATTCTTATCGGCCATTATACAATTTTCTATTGTCAAATACACAGCATGACAGATTCTAAGGTTAAATTAATAAATGTGCAGTATGTATAATACTCTAAAGTCTTAGAAAAAATATATATCTTCGATCATTTAACTTTACAGCAAGTCTAATTTTAGTTTTTTAACTTTATTTGGTTTTATATTAATCCTAAAGTATTTTCTTAAAAGACTCTAATCAAGAATTCTTAATTTCATTTTTCTCCTCTAATTGATTTGATCTTCTTTATATTAGAACATAAAAGAAGTCCTACATCTAAAGATTAGAATATATATTATAAATATACAAGTTTAGGAAGTATTTAACTAAATGACTTAAGTTATTTTTGGTGGAGTATATTATCTTTAAATATAATTAATATAAAAAATCTAACATAATATCATGAGCTATCTAGTTTAAGCCATTTGGTTAGACTTTAAAATTAAAAAAAAAAAAGGAGAGATTAGTAATATCATTCTCTTATGTATGTTCATTTTCTTATGCTTGTTACGTATCGGATGATTATTGAAGTTTTTCCCTTCTTGTTTATTTATTATTATTATTGTTTATTTATTTTTTGCAGTTTGTACTATATATTGATTCGTGTTTGGATTGTTCATTTTAGTTTTCTTTTTGTTGGATTGTTCTGCTAAAAACAGAGAAGGCATCATTCAACAGTACAGAAATCTCGCAAGAAAGGTTAGTATATGTTTTGACTATTATATTCTTTTTTTGGTTCTGTGTTTTATATATTTTGGTCAATTGAACTATGTTTAAAGTAAAATATACTAATCTTTCGTCTATTTTATCTTAATTACAAAGATCTTTCTTTTATTTTTTTAAGTACGTATAAACCTTTTTTAAAAGTAAAATTTACATAAGGCATACCTACCATTTATTGCAAAAATTTCATTCACATCTATCCAACTTTTAATTGACAACTAAATAACATATTTTGGATTAAAATTAAATACCTCTTTTTAATATAAATATTATTTAAGTGTCATTTAAGTTTTCAAATGATAATATTATAGTGCATATATTTTAATTTTTCAATCTAATTTTAAAGTTTTAGTTATATATACTTCTTTATATAGTACACTTAATTTTAAGCTTCATAAGATGGAAAAATTAATATTTCAAACACATCTGAATAAAAAAGAAGACTATGCCAATGAGCATGTAATTCAACTAGTAAGGAGTAGTGATAGCTTAACATCTCTAGGTATGCAACTATATTAACTTTGGTACTTCTCAATTCTCACTCAATTATCGTTCTACTTCTGAACAAGCTCACTCAAGTCTCTCCCTACACATACATGCCTCTCCCTTATTGATTCTTCTTAGGCTCATGAATCTCATATGTGTTAGATCCCCATCTTCTTTCCTTCCAAACTCTCCTCCTTCACACCATTTCAAGTAATCTTTCACCCTTCTTTCTTTCCCACCTAAAACAAAATTCATTAATTATTTCTTTTCAATTTTAGCTTTTTTCTCCTTCCTAAATTATTGTTAAGATCTATTCTGTCTATGTTATAAATTACTTCCAACTATTTTATCAGAATAAAGAAAGATAAATGTGTCTTAAAATTTTAAAAAATATTCTAATTTCAGTATTTTTTTTTTAACATAATATTCGAGAAGCCAAGTAGAAATAATAAATTAGGTTTAAATTCTCCTTTTAGGATTTTATTATTAAGGATAAAATTGAAAAATATTAATTAATAAAGTAATATAATAATTTTCTTAACATGTGCAAAATGTTTCTCAAGCACCTTTTTACATAGGACTGGATTGAGTACTTTATATTCAAGCATTCTTACATAACCTGTCGTTCTCTTCGTGATTTTGCGATCAACTTCTTTGAATTCCACAAACCGAAAAATTGAAAAAAAAAAACAGGGGGGGGGGGGGTAGCTTTTTTTAGATATATGTCCATTTTCTCATGCTGCTTCTTCTTATGTATTCTTATTGTTGAAGCTTTCCCCGCTTTGGTAAGTAGTTTTTGTGTGCCATGATTCGTTCTTATTTAGACTTTTTCTTGCCAGCTTTCTCGTGGTTGCTTGTTAATTTGTCCTTACAAGTTATCCAAAATTAAAAAAAAAAAAAAAGGAGACTTCCAACCAGTGTTGAAATCTCCCAAAAAAAAAATTAAGGTTAGTATATGTTTCGATTCTATTTGTTTTTGTTACTCATTGTCAGTTGGTTTATGTTTAATTTGAATTATTCGATTTTCTCACGTAGTGGGTGTAGTAGATAGCACCCAAAAAAAAAAAAAAACTAATGCACTAAAATGAAAAACCAAAATTTAAGTTGCATGACATATTAACTTTCAATTACATAAACTAATTACAAAAAAGAATGACACTTAAATTCTAAAAAATATCAATTTTATACCAATTACTCCCTCCAATTTTTATTATAAAACACTTTCAATTTTTATGCATATTAAGAAAAAAAATTTAATATCATAAAAAAGTGAGATATACTCTCATTTTTATTCTTGATTTTAAATAATAATATAATTATATTAAATATTTTATTGCTAATCAAGAAGGGATTAAATTGAAAAAAGTAGTTTAATTATTATAAGATGTCATATATTTTAGACCAAAAATTACTTTTAAAAAATGTCTTATAAATAAGACCAAAGGGAGTAAGTCTTAATAAATTTTATTAAAAAATGAGTTGAAAATATTTATTCATATTGAGCTGCAAATGTGAGAAAAATTATTATGAGTGACTTATGAGACTAAAATGTTGAATTTGCATTCATCACTCTGTCTGTGTCTCGTACTGTTCAAATTTATATTTGTAATCTATTTTTTAAATAAGTTTATAGTGATTCAACTATAATTAAATTAATCTTTTACACCCTAGTGTTATCCTCCCAAAATAAATAAAACAACAAAATGACTAGAAATTTGAACTGCCAACCGTGCTAACAAATACTCATTCCGTTTAAAAATATAAGGCATTTTTAATCGAATCTTACCATTCAATAAAGTTATTACCTACTTTCAAATTAATTTTATCTTTCTATATTCACCTCTATTAAATACCTAAAAATAAATATAAAGTTATTATTAATAGGGGCACTTTTAAAAAAAGGCAATGATTACACTTCGAAAGATTAAAAATGCCTTACATTTTTCAATATCCGACTTCTCAAAAAATGTCTTATTGTTCATATGCATATATACCATATCTTTTGCGTAATTGAAAAGGGAAAATTCCAATCACGTCCCACACAAGAAATTAATTATTGCAATGTTTCTTGATAATTGAAAATGCAGTTTAGTTTAGTTGGTAATGGATCTTGCAGTAATTAATTTTTTTATGTGGACTTCAAGGTAATTCTTCCGAATAAAAACTGTTACTTATGGAATACCAAAAAACAAAAGAAAAAAAAAAGCTGTTACTTGTAATTTAATAATTTGTGCACTTTCAATTTCGTATTCGTTTTTTGGCTGTTGTCATCTTTTGCGAGTTTGAAGGCAAGAAAAAAGGAAGGAAAGAAAGAAAAAACAGAGAGGTTTTTCTCTGTCGCGAGTTATCATCAATCAGAGTTCAAATCTCAGGAAAAACAAAACAAAACAAAAGAAGTGGTAAATATCCATTTAATTCAAGTGATTTTCCTCCTCTTTGTGTGTGCGCGTGTGCGGCTTCTTTTAATTACTTTTAATTACTATTTATTATCTTTTTCATCAGTTTCAATTTCTTGGAGTAAAATATCATTGAGTACTGTGGATGAAAGAAAATAATGCTCTCCTTCCTGCCTTTATTATAAAACACTCCAATCATTTTACGTATTTTAAAAAAATTAATTTTTTTATTAATATATTTTTATTTTTATCTTTAACTTTAAATAATAATACAATTATATTAAATACCTTTACATTAATTAAGAATGAATAAAATTAAAAAAAGTAATTTAACTATTATAAAATATCTTATATTTTGAATAAAAAATTACTTTTAAAAAATATCTTGTAAATAAGATAGAAAGAAATATCTTCTATTCCAGCTGGGATAGAATCCAATCTCCATTATGATTTAAGACTTAAAAGTCGACTTCTAACCAACCAATGTTGTCATAATCGAATGAAGCACTGGTCCGTTAAAATATAGTTGGACTAAGGGCTGGTTTCTGGTTTGATTGATTGAACCGGCCAATCCAAACGCCTAAATGCAATTCAACTCAGCCTGAAACCATTTTAAGAAATATTTAAAATATCTTTTAAGAAAAAATATAACTACTATCATTTAAAATATAATTTTTTACAACCTAAAATATTTTTCTATAAAACTAATATTAAGATAAAAAATAATTATTTTAAAATTATATATGCTTAATAATTAACAATTATTTTTGCACTTGTATCATTGTTAATTACATTAATGCATTGGGAGTCCTGGACAAATATTTATAACTGATGACATTAAAAAATATATCAAAATTTTCTATTCATAAAAGCTGTCATTAAACTTAATTAAAGCTTTTTTCAAATTATTAATTTGTTAAAGAATTAAGTTAAATAAAAAAACGTAAAATTTGATAGCCGACTTTAACTATTACAGTTCACTGATATATGCATGTGTATTATTTTATACCTCTTTGGCCACTATTATAGTCGCTTCTGATTAATCATTTCTGTGCTGTAGTATTCGTCTATTTGATTTTTTTCTTAAACCTTTTTTACAGTTTTATCTTCGTTGATTGCTTTTAGTTTTCCGCAAATTCTATAAAAATCCAAAAAAAAGAAAGAAAAATCTGAACAAAATGGAGGTTTCCTTGCCGAAGGCATCATCGAAGAAAGTTCAAAATCCTCCAGAAAAACAAAAGGTAGTAAGTATACATTTTTTATGATTTATTATTTTTGTGCTTACATTGCCATATTTGTCATTTGATCGTAGTATATAGTTTCAGCTTCTTGTCCTTGACTTACCATATTACATTAAAATTACATTTGGATGAGTGAATTTGGATTTAAAATTTTACATTTAAAATTTATAGATTTTAAATTCTATGTTTAGATGATATAAAAAGTTTTAAATTATAATATTAAAATTTTTTGTTTGGATCTTCACTAAAATTCTAAATTTTAAATTTCATGTTTAAATTTAAAGCAACTCGGACAACGTCGACAGTCTAGTCCTAGTCAAAATCGGCAATTTGGATGATTGACTTTTACCAAGATCAAAGAGCCGATGTCTAGCAGGATTGAACAATAGACTTCCAACGAGACCATACGCCAATGATAACTAGGACCAAATGGCAGACTTCTACCAAGACTAAACTGTTAGCATCGACCTGGGCCTGACTGTTGACTGGGACTAGAGTGCAAGCAAAGACTAGGTCGAGGTCACTAGTTCGGTCTCATTCGAAGTTGTCAGTTTCGATCATGATGGGATCTAGCTGTCCAATCTCGATCACAAAATGTTCTTTAGTCCTGGTCGGTGCCGGCAATTTGGTCACGATGGAAGTTAGCCTTGTGGTCCTAGCTGTCACTTGTACTTCAGCCCTGGTCGGCTCCGTTGGTTAAGCCTCAGCGGAAGTCAGCCTTCTGATCATTATCGTCACATATATTACAGTCTGGGTTGTCACCAATGGTCCAGTGTCGATTGGTGTAGGTAGTTCGATCCCAATAGAAGTCAATCGTCTAGTCTTGGTTGGTCCTGGCCATCCATTGTTGATCGATGGTGACAACCCTGTCCCGATCAGTAGTGGTGGGTGGTCTAGTCCTGGTTGCCACTGGCAATCTGGTTTTGTTTGGAGTTACCAAACGACCAGTCAAATTATAAAGAGATTGAGGTAAGATTTGAAATAATAGGGTTTTAGAAAGAATTTTAAATTACAAAGAGATTGAAGTAGAATTTGAATTTAAAAGTTAAATCCAAATTCATATATTTCTAATTTCCCAAACAATTGATTAAAAATTTATGATTCCATATTTCTTAAGAATTTTATGCTTTACACTATCCATTCCAAATTAAAAATTTACTATTTTTTAAAAAAATTTCTCCCTCTTATTTTCTTCTCACTTTTTCCTTGCTTCAAACTAAGAAAAATTGAAGATCTTATGTAAGGTTTCCATTACTAATCTTCATTTAACTCCTAAACCCAAGTAATCAAGGTGTTAACCCTAAAGGATTATCCAATTGTACAATCCAGTACTAAGTTGTAAATTTCAACAATGGGAATCCCAAGTTTTTATGGTTTAAAAACACTTTACAACATTTTCACTATTCATAAATTAGGGTTTAAAACTTATGCGAAAGTATAGGATCCTAAACAAGTCAATGCAATTGCAAAATAGTTGAAAACAACAAAATAGTGCAGCATAACAGAGGTGCGTCGTGGCTCACTATAGACACACTATGGCTGGTTGCTTTTGTGTATGCGTCGTAACATATTACACAAATTTTGACAACATAGAGTTGTCACATGACAGCTTCTAGGGCAAACTTCCGATGCACCTTATTTCTCCATTTGACATCCAACTGTGATGATTTAGGTGTTTATAGAGAGCTTTCTTTTAACTCTAGTTAATAGTACTAATTTCACGATCAAATTATTTTTCAATCAAAAGTCAGACATCTGTTTCAAAACTCACTCCTTTTCACTTAGATTCACAACTAGGGTGCCTAAACCATAATTCAAGTGTCAAAAATTATACCAACCTTCAGACTACACTCAAATGATAGTATAGGACTCATGCAACATACTACACATATCACTTTTTCGAAGCTCAACCCCTTGATTACAAAACAAGAGGGAGAGCCCAATTTTCATAAATCAATATATATATATATAAACTTCTTCCTCTACTCAAAAATATAAGGCATTTTTAAGTGAATCTCACCCCCTAATAAAGTAGTTACTTACTTTCAAACTAATCCTATCTTTTTATACTTACCCTTATTAAACACCCTATAATAAATATAAAGTCACTATTAATAGGGGCACTTTTGAAAAAATGTTAATGATTACACTTCAAAAGACTAAAAATACCTTACGTTTTTTAACATCCAATTCCTCAAAAAATGTCTTACATTTTTGAACGAAGAGAGTACATAATATTCATTCATTTACATTTATCTCTACTTGTACTAGTATTTTGATCTTATTTATCCTTTACCACATCACAAACATTCCAAGGCGCGAAATACGCATTTAGTTTATTTTTAACAATAGTGCAAGTAGCTAAAAATTAATTATATGTAAACTTTCAATGCGTCTCCTCAAGTTTAGATATTGCCAATTTTAGGTTAATTTATAATTCAACCATAAGAATAAATATTAATATTTTTGTTTAAATAATTTTCACACTTAAAAAAAAAAATAGTGTACCTGTGACTTTTTTTCCTGGCATTTATAGAAAACACTGCCGAGTAACGCAATAACTGTGTATCTTGAGGAAAAGAAAACACCCTTCAGGCAGCGTTTCGCTCAAGGAACGCCACTACAGGGCACATTTGCTTTCCCTTTCCTTTCCTTTCCTTTCCTTTTTCTTTTTCTTTTTCTTTTTCTTTTGCTTTGTTTTGTGTTTTGTGTTTTTTTGTTTTTTGGGATAGTTTTTCCTTTCTTTTTCTTTTTCTTTTTTTGTTTTATCATAAAGCATCGTGCCTTTCAAACCCTTCCTTTAGCTAATAAAGAAGATTGCTCGAATTAAAAAAAAAAAAAAAACAAACGAATAGAATAATTAATGTCATCATCTTCTATCAACTCCACCCTTCCATCATTTTCACGATTTGGAATTGGCAACTTCATTCAAGAAAATTAAAAGTCTGAACCTTATGATAAAACTAAAAAAAATTATGATAAAATTAAAAGTTTAAATGTAAGTGAAGATAATATCTCATGGTTGATAAAATTAAAAGCTTCATATCTAATTTTGACAATTTAAAATTTTTATTATTTTTTATTTTAGGAGTAATAAAAAATAAAAATAACATGTTAACAATCAATTTCATAAAAAAATTTATTTATAAAAATAAATATAAAAAATAATAAGATTTAAATGGTCTGAATCAAATGCTAACAAAGATCAGTTCACAAAATAGTCTTCGACCGAGAAAAACAAAAGCAAAATAGTCACTGTACATGTTAGCTTTGATAACACTCAGCTCGAAGAATTGAAATTAGACACTAGATAATGGCCCACAAAAATGCAAAGAAAGAATGTCACCAAAGAAATAATTATTCTTGATGGTGAAAATTCGATGTATAAAGGAACAAACTTTATATGTTGTTTTACTTTTTGGAACACCTTTATTTTGTTTTCCATGACCCTATGGATTTAAATTAATAGAGATGGCCAACATAATAATTGAGAGTTGTCCCTCTGGCCACGTCTATAAAACTTGGAAAACATAATAATTTAGGGAGAGTTGTAATATACATTTTTCATCTCAAATTATAGAATAATTTTATAAAAAATTTAACATCTCAAAATATAAAATATTTTGATAAAAATAAATTTTTATTAATGATTTTGTTTAAGATTATCCTTCTCATTATATTCTCTCTCTTTAATTTTTTTTTTATAAATGAAGGCTATTTTTAAAAGTTTATATTTTTATTTTGAACAAAAAAATTATAAATTTTATTTAATAAACTTTATTGGTATGCATAATTTTATCTAGAAAATATCTTATAATTTGAGTTTGTCTTAAATATAGGAGTTAATTGGCTGTTTAATTAGGTCCTTAATTTATCTCTTATATTTATTATTTTTTCCAAATATCATATAATTAGATTCTTATATGATGCATAAACATTGTTGATGATATTTTAATGTAAATGATTAAAAGCAGGAATATTTTAGAAAGAAAATTTAATACATAATTTTTTTTTAAGATAACTAACCAATATAAGTCTATAAATATGCGTGAATTAGTTAACCAACTCCTATATTTAGATGGAAGGAAGTAATATACTAAAATAAATCTCTTAACTAATGGTTTTAATTAAAATATTAAATTTCCAATTTATATTAATAAAGATAGATTTAAAAGAATAACAGTAAAAATAAAACAAGATTTTAAATTAAGTAACAATAATAAATGACATTTTTAAATCAAGCTCACATGGAAAAACCCGCATTGGATATTTTGGATTCCAGTGCATGGCAGATCGATGAGGTCACGTGGGTGATGTGAAATTCACATTGGGAGATTTGGTCCGTGAAATTATATTCACTATCTCTGCATTCCAATGATCCAGAAACTCGAGTTTCTTTTATTTCCAAGTCGCCCCGCCCTTGTCTCTTTGGTCTTCTTCAAATCTACAGTTGTGAATACTGTATTTTATTTAAATATTTTTAAAATTTAATAAAAATAATAATAAATAATTAAAAAATATATAAAAATATAAAAATAAAATTTAATCCTTTTTAAGATTACATTTTCAAAACAAAAAAAATATTTAATTAATAGAATTTAATTTTATTTTAACCTAGATACTTTTTATTGGTTAAGATTTTATTCTAGTTCATTAAAATAATAAAAAATATAAAAAATACAAAAATAAAATTTAATTCTTTTTAGAATTATATTTTAAAAGATATATATAATTTAATAAAATAAAAAAATATATCTTGCTTAAATTTTTGAAAAATCTCTATCAAATTATTCTAACCATTCAAAATATTGAGGATTAACTTTTGAGAGTTAATTCTTTTAAATTAATTTTAAAAATAAAAAGAAGTATTGAAAAAAAAAGTAAATGGGCTGGATGAAACATTGAATTGTCAGCATTTCACCCATAGCCCAAAAAGAGGCTTTCACCCAGCCCTCCCCGCGCGAGCTATTGAGAAAAAAAAAAGGGTAGAGAAGATCGACGAAAAGCAGAAGAAGAAACCCAGAGAAAACGCCAGACTTAACGCAAAAGATGCAAACACACACACAAAAAGCTAGAAGCAGAGAGCAGACTCACTTGTGACTGAGAAGAGCATAGCAGATGCACACACAGACACTTTCAACGCGGGCAGATAGAAGAGGCGTGCACGGCAAGAGGAAGACCAGGTATTTTTACTTCGACTAAGAAGACGGAAAGGGGAAAGCGAGAAAGAGACCGAGAGGGGAAGAAGGCTGAATCTGGGTTTTAGGAGAGGCTTTGAGCAAGAGAGACAGGAGGGAGAACCGAGAGTCAAGAGAGATTGAGCGATCTGGAGAAAGAGGAGGGACCGGAGGTCTGAAAGGGGATCGAGGATGAAAAAAAGACCAGAGGAGACCGAGAGAGATTTTGCTTCTATTTGGGGAGAGAACGCGAGAAGGAGGGAGGAAGAACAGAGGAGACTGAGATTAGAGTTGGAGAGATTTTTGGCAAGGATTTTTGAAAAGAGCTGGGTTTTATTTTTTTTTTAGAGTGATCAAAAAGAGAGAGGACCGAGAGTTGAGAGAGATTTTTCTAGAGATTTTTTGAAGAAAGACAGAAGAGGCAGAGAAGAGCTATTGAGAAAAAAAGATTGAGCATTTGAAGAAAAGAGACAACACAAAACAGAAAGGAAAGGAGTCGGGCGAATAAGACAGAGGAAGAGCTGAGTTTTAAGTGAGTAACGATTTTTGCATTTCCATTCTTCTATGCTTTATGTGATCAGAATCTCAGACATGTCTGGAATCTGTTTATTCATGAGGATGAGGTGAACAAATCTATTTCTTTTTTGCTTGGGTGATTTGAAAATTTCATATCTACTTTGCAATATTGAAAAGAGACAATATGATATATAATGCTTGCTTTTCTTTCCAGATTAGTATGCTTATTAGATGTTTGATCAAATGTTTGAATGTGGAATATTATGTTGAAAGGAGTTTTTGGCATGTGGATTTTCGTTGTTGCTATTTTTGATCTCTTTTTGTGATGATGTTGCATTAGTGTTTAATTTCATTCGCTTGGGTTGGTTCTCTTAATGAGAGATATAATGGGCTAAGGGTGCACCATTTATGATTCCAAATGAAGTATTTCACTTTCAAAATCATCTGTACTCCTCCTCCTTTATTTCGTTTGCTAAAATTCAAGATTGAATGGATTATATCTTACTACCAGTAAGCTTCCCTCAAGGTTTTATGGGATTAGCACAATGATAATGGAAGTTTTAAAATTTATAAATCTGGGATGAATTGTTTTGTGCGAGCATGATAGAAAGTAATGCACTTTCTCCCAATTTAATCTCATTGAAATCCACTGTTGCATCATGAAGTTTGCTACTCTTGTACCAAGCTTGGTGGTCTTTTTGTGATTATGGCCACATACATTCGTTCCCCTTGCTGCATTTGGAATGTTCCTTTTTTATCAAATTTTAGTCTCTTTAATTGTTCATGATTTCACTTAAACTAGACACAGCCCCGTGGTTGCACGGGTAGGCAAATTCAATAAAATGTAAATTCAAGTAATGATATTAGAGTTCAAAAAAAAAAAATAGTTGTAATGTGTAGTACCTAATCAAAAAAGAAATGACGCATAACTTAACAATAGTTATTGTATGCAGGAAAAAAAAAGCTTGATAAGGAAGTCAAGCATTTGTTAACAAAGTTCACTATATATGTAGCTCAAAAACAAAGTTAAAAAAAAATCAACCATTTGTAGTTTTGCATAGTAGAAATGAAATGCCAACCTAAATTTGAAATTGTGTAAAAGATGAATATTATTCATACAATTGTGTTGCACAGGTTGGCTAATCCTTAACATATACTCCCTCCATCCCAAATTATAAGACACTTTTAGACAAAATTTCATATACCAATAGAGCTTATTAAACACATTTTACAACCTTACTTTTTCAAGAAAAAATATAAACTTTTAAAAATGTTCTTCATTTAATACTCCATTGATAAAAGAACATTGAAGAAAGAGAATATATAGTAAAAATAATATTGAAAAAGTATCATTAATAAAATTTTATTTTTGTCAAAGTGTCTTATATTTTAAAATGTTGAATCTTCTCTAAAAGTATCTTATAATTTGAGATGAAGGGGGTAATATATATCACCATGTGCCATGGGTTGGCTAAACACATATATGGCTATATTATAATATTACTTTATTATATGACACACACACACATATAGTTATACTATAATACTACTAACTACAGGTTGATCTTTTGACTCTCATGATATCATATGATACACACATATAAATTTAAATAATGATACCATAATATGTGACACATGGTTAAGAAAGATAAATGAAGTATTACCTAAATAAAGCTATTGTATTTGGCAAAAAAATGTTTAATAAGGATGTCATTCTTCACTATGTAGTCAACTCAAAAACATTTACAAAAAATCATACATTTGTAGCTTAAAAGTTTTAAAAAAAATTGTAAGGTTTGAGGTAATGAGAGATTTATTTGTACATTATATTAATAGTATTTGACATCTAAATGAGTAAAATTGAACTAAATAACTAATTATTAATTTATATTTCAAACAATTTGATTCCCACATAAACTTCTAGTACAAATAATATGCATAATGCACAATATAACTTTGCCACCAATATAATCTTCCCTGACTTGGCCTATAAATAAAAGTAATAAAATAATAGATAGGTAGAGGCAAGGGGCTCTTGCCCAACGCTTCCATCTAAGAAAATAAGTATATCATACATATTCATACATATGGAAGTGAATTTGGCTCAAGGAAAAATACATATACAAAATCATTGTCCATAGAATAAAATTATTCTCCAAAAATAAACAACTAAATTGTAGAATCTAGAATACTATAAAACAACTCTGCAAAGGCTTGTGACTAACTCATCCTAGAAACTTGCTCAAGCTAATTTATTTATAGGAATAAAAAAACATTATTGTAACAGGGAATAGCATAGCCACCATACTCACACAACATCCTCTTAGTCTTTCTCATTTTTCTTTAATGGCTTACAAAGAGCAACTTGCCTATTTCTATCACTGATGGATAAACTATGTAACCTTAATATATTGCATGCTATCATATTATTTATGATATAAGAAAAGCAAAAAATCAATGCGCAGGTTGCTGAGTTCATTGCACAATGCTCAAGGTGTCCTTCCATATCACCATCCTTTAAAAAGACATCCTATCAATGGATATATATATATATATATATATCGCCAGCTGTAAGCATACATTAGTTTTAATTTAAATAATGACAGAAGGCAGCTCGCAATCTACTGGTGAGATGCCCCTGCTAGTACATTGCACTTCTCTGCATAAATCAAAAACATGTTCAAAAACAACAATTTAAAAAAACAATCAAGATATAGGGGAGAAAATTCAATATAATAAATATAAATGTTAGATGGTAATACTCTAACTTACTTTGGCTGGACTCTAGTTAAATAACAAATCCCTCAAGTATAAAAAGATCTGAGCTCTTTGTGGAAAGATCATTTGAACCCTTCTACAATTGATGGACACAATGAAACATACAGATAGGATAAGGAACCACACATTATGATTTATAAAACTCAACTGTTTTAATAAGCGTAGGAAACCATAAATTAACTACAAACATTCTTTCTCTTCATCTTTAACTCCGTTCAGTCTACTGCTTCTAAATATTATGGATATCCAGCACTAATCTCAACCTAAAAGGGAGAGAAATCATTTATAAGAAGCCATCTGATGCTCCATACAACAAATCAAGTGTTAAACTAATAAAAAAAGTTAGAAATCATAATAAAAAAATGAAGAGAAGAAAGGACAAGGACAGTTCAGGCAAAGCTAATAAAATAGAGCTGTGATATTTGAGGGTGAAGACAAGATTCTAATGATGCCATGGTGGCCACTCAATTTGAAATTCAAATTCAAACTATTAATAATGAATTGGTCACGTGTCAGAAGGAAAGTACTACAATGAGGATGTGTGCAATGGGAGTGTCAGTGGAAGTAAGTAATAGACACAAAGATAGTTTTTTAGGAGCCAAAAGGAAACTACTACTGTGTAATAGAAAATAATTGATAGATAAAGGATAAAACCTTAATGTCTTATGTTCCATCGAATTATATATGATATAGGGACTGATAAAAAACAGCAAGCACATTTCATACTTCAGTGCACAACACTGAAAGTGTCCTTTTATACCTATACCCTAACAACCGTGTCCCATCATACTTAATAAATATGAAACTTTTATCAATACACTGAGTAACCATAGGTGTAAAGCTAATCCTGTAGACTTATATCGGTCAATCAAAAGATTATTCATAATCTATAAATAACAAAATCACAAAAGCAATGCTTTTTAAGATATGTTTTCACAATGTCCCATGACTCTAAAAAGCAACGTGATAGCAAGTCTACTATAAGAGCTCCAGACTAAAAGAAATAACATATTAACCATTCACCATGCCCTTTTTTTATTGATGCATCAAGGGATCATATTCACTTAATGTCAGTCTCACATAATTTTATTTCATTATTTCTTGATCATTCACCACAAAGTTAAATTAACAATTTCACATTATATTATTAACACTCCTCGTTCATAACCAATTCACTAACAGGTCCTCATGATTCACCTGATTCTTCACATCTAAATTGTAGCAACCGGTTATGGAGAAATGGGTCATGTCAACAAAAAAAGAAGACTGAAAAAGAAAAAAAAACAGGATAAATAATTGATGAATAACTAAAAAAAAGATATAAGAGAAAGAAAAAGAAAATAAAAGATTAAACCAAATATTATATTTTCTTTGTAGAGGGTAGTTAGTGACAGGCTAATTTTCAAACTTTTTGCTAAAAATCATGTGGGAAGAATGGATTACTTAAAGTCAAATGTGATAGGACCAAATGGTGAGGAAAAAAGGCAAAAGTTATGTAAATAACTTGTCAAACAAATATAAGTCTGCCTTATTGACACTGCTACAATAAGAAGACATATGGTATAACTGGAAAATAATGATAGTAATGTATAGGCAACCTGTCGGTCATAACAAATAAAGGATTAAGAATGATTTTGAAATAGTTGAGGTTTGAGAGATGGACAGAATTCCAACATCTAAAGGCAGAGCCATAAACAGTTGAATTATATGAATCCCTACTCTTTATAGTGCCATTACAAGAAAGCATTCCATGAGATGTAACTTAGTATTTCACCTTTTCTGAGACTTTATTGTTACTGCCATTTAGCAGCTCAGGAACCATTTAAGGTAGTGTATATGAATATTGAGCATTTGAAAAGGGATCTTCAACTCTTCAACATTTGAAATCCATGTTCTAGCTCCTTCCCCCCCACACACAGTAGCTACCACACAAATAAATAGAAGATTGAAGAAGAAAAAACAGGGTAAATAACTAATGATTAAGCCTAAAAAAAAGTTAAAAGAGAAAGAAAAAGAAAATAAAAGAAGCCTTTGAACATGTTCTTACTCCATGTGGTGTTAGTTCAGTTGTTATTATTCTTCTTCATCACCGCTGTGCTTGTGGGTCTGCAGGGAGTCGATGCTTTAAACATATTAAGCACCACCAATCCCATCTTCATTAGTTCTAGGTCACCGTTGTTGAACTCAATTATTCCTTTTGCATCACTGAGCTCATGGAGAGGACTGGTGATAAAGATAAAGAAACTTAACAGACAATTAAAATGATGGGTCAGTTTCTCAACTATTTTAATTATGTAGAGGCAAACCTTTTTAATTATTTAGGAAAGAGCATGGTGATTTGGCTTCATATTTATCCTAAGCAAAGTCAATATATGTCATGACAAATTTAAATCCTCGATTATTCTGTTACTTATAGTTAAGAAAATAGCAAATAGTGGTTTGATGGTAAAAGAACATATTATAAAAGTTTAAATGATACATTTTAAACCATTGACAGGTAAAGTGATTGGCATATAATTCAAAATAGAGGAAAATACTCAATCTACCTACCAATCCTTTCAGCATAAAATACTGTCAAAATCTTATTAGGACATAAAAATGGCTAATGACATCGATACTTGAGCTTAAATGCAATAAAAGGGAGCGAAGAGAGACCGAGATGACCTCTTTGGTTACTTGCTCTAGCAATGCCAATAGCAGCAACTCAGCAACTCCTGTAGTTTGAGGTTGATCATTCTGTCTCTTTCTTCTAAAAGAATACGTATCATTTCTTCTTCTCTTCACCATGATTCAACATCAATCCTTGATCCCTGCAGAATAATGTAAAAATGACATTTTGATAGTTAGAAAGCTAGACACGCAAGGAATATAATAGATGGTTAAGATTTGATACCTTGGTGGCTAGATGATGAAGTTCACAAGTTGTTCTATAGATTCAAACAATCAAGATGATGCCGTTCAGCTCTTTAAGATAATATATATCTGTAAAATACATAAAGCATGTATATTGGCCGAAAGTGTAGAAAAATCAAAGCAGCCTAAGAAGAAAATGGGAGAGATTAAGGATTTTCCTCATGAGTGATGACCGTTTTTTGAAACACAAAAGGCAAGAAAAAATAGACAATCATTTTTTGGCTTGTCTATAGTGTAACTAAATTTCTGTTGTCGACTTCAATTTCCCGTCATATCCACAGCAGAGAAATGGGATGAGATGTAGAAGGAAAGATGAGATGAGGTAGACAGAGAAAAGGCAGCCCATACCTACGGTAAAGGAAGAGGTGGTCAGAGGAATCAGAGGATCTGTGGCTTGGCGGAAGCGGTGGTTGGAGTCGGAAGAATTGGAGAACCTTTCCTCAAATGTGAGTTGAGTGATTGAGCTTACAGGAGAAGTAAGGATGCCGAGACAGAGCAAATGGTTAGGAAAACAAATGAGTCTGGTTTATTGTGGTTGAGCGATTAAGCTTATAGGAGAAGTCAAAAGCTAGGTACTGTTGCCCTCTGAAAAATGAAGATAATGCAGTACAAAATAGGCAGGGAAGTCTTATAAAAAATCTTCTCCTAGATCCATGTATTAATTAAACCTCCCCTTAAGCCGTGCGTTGATGGCGTGAAGTTGACACTGTAGCTAAAGCCGAGTACTGTTCATAGAGCTGATGAACAATGTTTAGTGTCTGGAGTCGTGTTTTAAGAGCGGCTTGCCTGCAATAGATTTGTTATTAAGATTGATTTTATTAATGCTTTCACTTGTGCTGTCTCAAATTATGAAAAATGCATTTCTTAACGAATGAGTTAAATGATCAATGAAATAAAATTTGCAACACTGTGCGTACATGTTTATGTACCAAATTATGACCCTTGATCCTCACTGCGATCCTATTCATCTTGAATTTAAATATGTCAATTTAATTTTGATTTTTGAGTCAACACAAGTAACAGGTGTTTTATTTAGAACAATACCCTGTAATAATAAGTATAATATTGTCATTGGGTAGTTTTGTGAATAATAATTGGGTAAAAGATAGAAGAAGCAACCAGCAATTGGTAAAAGATTTTGTTTGTTGAGTAGTTAATTAAATCTAAGATATATAATAATCATAATGATGATAACAATAATAAAAGAACATATTTATGTTTATTTTCCATGTGAGATTTTAAGAATCTTTGTAGGAATTTAAATGATTTCATATCGTGTAAATTAATAAGATTTCGCAGATATGAGAATAAAACTTGTATATATTTATATGAGTTTCAAAGGCCTATCATTATTATAATTTAAATCAATAAAATATTTAAGTCTCATGTGAGATTTCAAGAATCTTTGTAGAGACTTAAATTAATCACATCCTCGTGTGGGATAATAAGTCCTCGTAGATGTCGCGATTATTAATTTTTATGAATAAATGAATTTTGTAAATAAAATAATAAACATTTTTGTAATTAATTAAATTAATAATTTTGAATTATGATCCATTTATTAATGAGATCTTTAAGTTATGTGAGATTTTTGAATCTCCGTAGACCTCTAAAATAATCACATTATCACGTGAGTTAATAAAGCTTCGTAGGAATAACGATTAGGATTTCATATGAAAAAAATATACATTACATGCATAATAAATCTTGAAAATTAATAAAATATATTTAAATAAATTTAATTCTTTTATTGTGTGAGATTTTGAAATCTTCGTAGATATTTAAAATAATTGTATTATCGGATGAGCTAATAAGGCTTTGCAGGTATTGCAATTGAATTCCCAATCATAAAATATAAAAAAAAATTAAACTCTTTTCTTTTCTTTATTCTGAAAATTTAAAAATTAAGAAAATAATTAAAATTAAACTATTTTTGCAATTTAAATCACACATATCAAATTTTAAAAAATTATTTTATTTACAAAATGGTGAATTATTTTTAATTAATTTCTCTTCAAAAAGATATTTTCACCAACAAATTTATAAGCTCAAACTACGTGGACTTTGATCCCCATCACAGGGTATGTAGGCCTCAGAATCAGATTCTGAGTCAAGTCCTCTCTTGTAAATAAATAAATATTTCTCACTTAATTTTTATTATTTTTATATCAAACACATGAATAAAAAAAGGATAATTAAAATAACTTTAAAATTATATTAATATAGCACAATAAACTTCAGGTAACCGTTCTTACGAACGGGTGTTGTAGGGTGCCTAACACCTTTCCCACACTCAATCGACTCCCAAATCTATTTTCTTATTTTGCTGACCATCCTTATTCTCCTTTAAATGGTTTTCTAAGATTTAACTTAGAATTTTGGTGGTGATTCTCGTTTCATCTGGTTCTCTTGAAGGTCGAAACCTCCGTTCGTGTGCCGTCCACATTGTATTTCTAGGTGCGACAGCAGTCTAATACTTTCCATGGTTAGTTCATGAAGCTGCAACAAGGTGTCTTATTCACATAAGCAAAGCGTTAGTCGGTTAGTTTAGACGTGGAGATTTTTATTTTCTTTCCTTCTCCTCTTTCCCCTCCTCCTTCATTCTCCTTTTTCTTTATTCTCCTTCTTTCTCTGTAAGCCTCAAAACATAGGATTGACTAAAGTAATGGTGGAAACCCAACTCATGACCCGCCTAGTTCTTTAAAAACTGTCGCTGATTTCCCGGTTCAAAAGTCAGTTTAGAATGGCTCAACCAGATCTAACCCTCAAAACAGTCTAAACTATTAGAAAGAGTCATTTGGACATTCGATCAATGGTTGGACCAGTTCAATCATCCGGTGGTCTGTAGGTTTCATATCAGTGCACTCCTAACTTTATCATTTGTCTAAATAATTTGGCTATAATTATAATGGTGGTGCTTTTATTCCATTGCACTTTCTAACAAAAAAATATCTTATAATTTAAAATAAAGTAAATTTATCAAAAGGGAATGTGGTCTGGTGAAAATTCTCATAGTGTCTACCCTCAGTTTCTTGGTTCGACCATATCCTAGAAGAGAGGAGCTTTATTTTTGGGAAAACATAACTTTACGTTTTTACATTTTGCTTGCGTTTTGCTATAAGTCCCTATATTTTTTTCTTGTATTTTAGGTCTTTATACTTTTATTTTTTAGTGTTTTAGATCCTAAATGAAAGGACCTAAAATATCAACAAACAATAGTGTAAGGATCTAAAACACAAAAAAAGTGCAAGGACTTAAAATAAAATACGAGCATAGTACAGGGACTCAGTTATATTTTTCCTTTATTTTTGCTTCAGCCCAATTAAATATTCAATTTTTCTCTTCAAATAAAAAAAGCTGAGAGGCTGAAACTAAACTTACATTTTGTATTTCTTTTCTCTGCCTCCCTCATCTTCATCGATTTTCTCTGTGACCCTTTCCCCCATCCTTCCTCTTCTTCCCTTTCTTTTGCTAATTCAGTCCAACCTTGTTCACAAGAAAATCCCAATTTTGATTCACATGCGGAGATAAGTTAACATTTAACACCAAAAACTAACTAATCTTAGGACGAGTTAATGGTTTGATCACTTTTGCACTAACTTTAATCATGTTATAGACATTTTTATTCCTTTGCCCCTAAATTATAATATTATGGGTAGGTAGTAATGCGACTCAGTCAAGAGAACTCAAAATGCTTGGTTAGAGGCAAATTTAAAGGGGGCAAGTTAGAGGCAAATTTAAAAGGGATAATTTCATTTAAGGACTTGAGAAAAAACATATTTTCTAGTGGGTCCTAAAAGATTTTAAACCTTCAGTTCAGCCCTCGGGGATTAAATTAAAAATAAGTTGAAAATAGAAAAGATAAAAATATTCTCATTTCAAATATTAAAAAAACCACATGCCACCGTCGCTGGAGCACCAACGTCAGTGACTGAAACCTTGCTGGCGACGGTAGCCACTGGACCTCTATCGTCGGAGCTCCTGCAATAGCTAGCAAATTAAATTTTTCAAAGGTGGCTAAGGTGGGTGTAGAACTCTTGACTCCTTGGCTCAACAAAAAGTTTTAGACCACCAAGCCACTCAACCCATTTAATCATATAATGCATATAATTACATATATAATAAACTCTGTTTCCAAATCACTTAATTATTACGTTACCTATTAATCGTGTAACTTTACTTGTTAATACCTTAACAACACTTGTTAATTGCTTAAATTTTCTTGTTGATCCTATGACTCCTGCAACAGAATTAAATTACTTTTTAATCGCGTAACTATACTTGTTAATAATCATGTAACTTTACTTGTTAATTATGCAACAATACTTGTTAATTGCATAGCTTGACTTGTTAATATCATAACAAAACTTGTTTAACTGCTGTTTCGAAAAAGCAATTAAATTACTTTTTAATTGCATAACTTTACTTGTTAATTCCTCAACAATATTTGTTAATTATCTATTATCACTTGTTAAATGAACATATAATTTACATAAAAAATTAAGTTTGTCAAATAATGAAAGCGATGACAGTCAAGTCTCCCTTATCAGTATCCATCAAACTAGATAGATATTCAATTACATAAGCATATATATGGAGAGAGATATATATATATATACACCCTAAAAAACAAGTATAAAATTAACAATTAAAATTGAAGAAATGACAAACTATATTAGGCTTTTAATAAGTATACTTTTTATTATAATACTTAAGAGATTTGAAAATAAGATTTATTATGCAAATAATTTTGAGGAAGTCACGGAATTAATAAGTAAAGTTGCGTAATTAACAAGTTAAGTTGCGCAATTAACAAGTATTGTTGCGTAATTAACAAGTAAAGTTACATGATTAACAAGTAATGTAGTTCAGTTGAAGGAATTATGTATTTGACAAGTGAATTTAAGTAATTAATAAGTCCTGTTAAGATATTAACAAGTACAATTACGCGATTAACAAGTAATGTAATTTTGTTGTGGAAGTCACGGACTTAACAAGGAAAGTTAAGTAATTGACAAGTCTTGTTAAGGTATTAACAAGTATAGTTACGCGATTAACAAGTAATTTAGTTCTGTTGCAGAAGTCATGGAGTTAACAAGGAAAGTTAAGTAATTAACAAGTCATGTTAAGGCATTAATAAGTAAAGTTACGCGATTAACAAATAATATAATAATAAAGTAATTTGAAAACAAGATATATTATATATATAATTTTATACAATATATGATTAAATAGGTTGAGTAGCTTGGTGGTCCAAAAGTTTTTGGTGAGCCAAGGGGTCAAGGGCTCTATACCCACCTTGGCCACCTTTGAAGAATTTAATTTTTTATAATTCTCCATCCCTTATCGGTGGTGGTCCAACTGGAGGCCAAAGGTCCAACAATGGAGGTCCAATGGCTGCTGTTGCTAGCGAGGCTTCGGTCACCAGCGGTGGTGCTTTGGTGACGGTGGCTGGTGATTTTTTTTAATATTTAAATTGAGGATATTTTTATCTTTTCTATGGTCAACTTATTTTTAATTTAATACTTAAAAATTGAATTGAAGTTTTAAAATCTTTTAAGGCCCACAAAAAAATATGCTTCTTCTTATATTCTTTAATGAAATTCTCCCAATTCAAAAGGGGGCAAGGAGAGGTGCTTGCTCCCCCACATTTATATTGTACTTTAATAAAAGTTATGAATCTTAATTGTAAAAATTTTTAAAACAAATTTTAGCCCCCCACACCGAACAACCCCACCTTTAAGAAAAAGAAATCAATTTGCTTTATCCGTTCTTGTCGGGCATCCCATGTGTAGAGCTAGGGCTGTGCAAAAGTCTCGTAGTCTCGTTCGGTCCGGTCCGACCCATGAAAATCCGGTCCTGTCCAGTCCTATAAAATGCTGGTCCTATAAGACCAAAAAAACCAAAAAGACAGGACTGATTTTTCGGATAAGATCAGACTAGAGACCAAGCATTCTCTGGTCTTGATTGAGTTTGCTCTCATTCTCAATTTCTTTAGTGCGCCAAAGCCCTTGCCCCTACCTTGCACTTTGCACTTTGATCTTGATCTATTCAAACTTTGAAGGAACATGTCTGTGAGCTGATTTTTATTACTTCTGTTCTTGCTAATTTTTTTCCTCTGGTCTATTTTCAGTCTTTCTTCTGATTTTTTATTGAAGTTATGTATTTAAATCATTTAGAGTTTGGACTGTAACTAAAATATTATTTCCTTAGTGTTAGAAATTATTATAGATTTATTATGATTATAAGTGTTTTTATTATCTTAATTGAGTTTGTTAAGTTGAAATGGATTATTGGTCATCATAGAGAAAAAAAAAGAAAAAAAAAAGGCCAAGTGAGTATTGGACTAACAGGACCAGTCTCCCAATCCTATGAACCAAGTCCGGTCTTATTAATTTTCGGGTTTTACAGGTTGCCTAACTCAGTCTTTTTTCATGAAAAGGATCAGACTCCGAATTAAGTTAAAATCCAGTCCTGTCCAATCTTTTGTGCAGCCCTATGTAGAGCTGGCTATTGAGCAAACGCCTGCGGCCTGCCCATGTGATATCACCGTAACTCGTTCTTCGAAGGGAGAGACCGAAGGGGAAGCTGATTTTTTACCCCACCGTAACAACCAATCCGAGAAGCCATAACTCTTGGCTTGAAACAGAACCTACCTTTTTTTTGAAAAATTTTATAACTAAACATGCTTTAGTTATTTTTATTTTTTTTAGTCCATGCTAATAAAAAAAATTCATCATTTGTTTAAATGTCAATTGTTAATATTTGAATAAGTAAATTTTAATTAATTCATACAATTTAGGAGAGTTAATTAAATTTATAATTATGTCTGAGATGAAAATGTTTAACCTACAATGTCCTTCTAATTAATGTTTATTTCACTATTCATTTATAAAAAGTAATTTAATAAAAATACAATAAATCTTTCTAATTTTTATGTCACAAGATTTTTTTTCTATTTTTTTTTGGCCAGCAATTTTTTTAAAAAATAAAATTTCAATAATTCAGAATTTACAATTGTTATTAATATTCTTATATAGTTCATACTTATCATTTTTCCTAACTTTTTGTCATAAGCTATTTTGAAAAATTTAATTTACAACTAAACATGGTCAAGTTATTTTCAATAAACTTTTAACACTCATAAAAAAAAAAACCTTTAACACTTAAATAAATGTTTGGATTCAAGGTTTTCAATTAGCTCGAATCTCAATTTGAATATTATTCAAATTATTATTTTTTGTTTTTAAATATAAATAAATTTTAATCAATAACAAGTTGGTTAAATTTTTATTAATCTTTGACATTGAAATATTCAAAGTAAAATGTCCTTGTAATTAATATTTTTTTAATTTAATAATATCATTCATTCATAAAAAGTAATTTAATAAACCTTTCTTGATTTTATGGCCTTATTTATAATAAAAATTAATAAAATATGCAATAATTATTTTCCAATGAAAAACGAAGGAAGTGTTATTGTCTAAGAATAAGAGGATAGAGTCACAGACAGTGCGGGTGATGCAGATATTTTTTTTTTTAAAAAAAAGTGAGTAATTAAAGCCTGTCGGCTCCGTACGTTAAGCGCGTCTGCTTTAACCGTACGAAATGATGTGAAGAAGACTGGACTCGGTGGTCCATCCCACCACCACCACGCTAGCACTGTACGGAAACCCAACAATTAAAGTTATTTTAAAAATATTTAATTTAATTAGGCACCCAACCTTTGCCTTTGGTCTGCCTGCTCTTTAACTTCCTTTTTCTGACTCCATTACCATTCTGCTTCTCCTCATTTCAATTTAATATTATTCATTTATAAAAATTAATTTAATAAAAATATAATAAATCTTTCTAGTTTTCATGTCACAAGTTTTTTTTCCAAATTAACATTTTAATAATTCAAAATTTATAATTATTATTAATACTTTTAATTGTCATTTTTTTAACTTTTTCTTTCACAAGCAGTTTTAAAAAATTTTATAACTAAACATGGCCAGGTTATTTTTAATAAACTTTTAACACTCAAATTAAGGTTTGGAATAGAGATTTTCAACGAACTCAAACCTCAATATGAATATCATCCAAATTATTATTCCTTCCATTTAAAAATATAAGGCCATGTTTGGTAAGTTATAATTGGAAAAATGAAAATAGAATTGGGATAAGAATCTGAATAAAGTGTGTTTGGTAGATATGAATTACAATTCCTAAGAATCCTGATTCTATGAAAATAGGCTGAATTGAATTTTTTATTTAAAACCATGGAATCAGGAACAATTCCATAGAATTGTAACTTTTAAGACACTCTTACCCTCATCAAAATTACATTCTCTGACTATCCATCAGAAAACACAAATGTTGGCACTTCTAAGTCTAAGAAAAGGAAAAGAACTAGTCAAGATCATGATGAACTTTTGACTGATGCACTTAAAGAGATGTTAGCAAATACTTCCCAAGACATCAAGGATTCCTCTGCCCAATTAGGAGCTCGTTTAGACAAGTTGGCTCGAGAAGCAATGTTAGATGCATGGGGAGAGGCTCTATATGATAAGTTGTTGAAGGTTGAAGATTTTATTGACAATGAGCGCACTGATGCGTATCTTAAAATGATAGATGATGATAAAATCCTTGTTGGATTTCCTAACCTACTAAATAAGGGTAAGGTAGCTGTGGTTCGCAAAATACTTTATGCATAAATGTGTTATATGTAAGTCACATTTGCTGCTTCTTTTTGGGTATTATAGTGTAGCTAAGTCTACATTGTAAACCATGATAGATATATTTTTCCGTCTCTGTCATTGTTAGTAGCCTTTTTGATTAAGTAGTTGTGGTTGTCTTATATATAGAAAGCCTGATTGTAAAGTGCTCAAGTCTACTTCTTTAGTTCATTTGTTGGTTTTGCCATGGTAGGTATTGTGCATTGGAAGATATGGTAAAAAAATTGAGTTAGACATTTTGTACAAATGCTACTTATGTGATAAATAGTTAACTTCATCCTTAGTGATGTGAAGAGATGGGAAGGCATGAACCTTTCTAGCTACATTTTCACTAACCAAATTCATGAGTTTGTTGTTCAGTTTGCTAGCCTTTTTTCTGGTCTACTCAAATTCATAACCATTTCTTCTGGAGTTATAGAATGAATTCAACCCTTAAGGTCTATGTTTCTCAAGTATGGCTGAAACAATCTTGGTCTAGGCTCGAGATCTTGCTAAATTGAATATGAAAATAGAAAATGCTATCATATGCTAGTCAAAAAAGAAAAAAGGGAGTATAAAAGAGTGAATGATATTTTTGCTCATTATATATAAAATGTTATAATATATATATATATATATATCTATATATATATATATATAAGATAGTATTATATATATAATATTTGTATATAATTTATATATTTATAATATTTTTTGTAAAATATTTTACTTATATATAATATCTATGATCTATATAATATTTCATTAACATATAAAATACATAAGAAAATTGATACACAATTAAGCCTTTATTATGTTTTATTTTAATTTTTATATAGGGGTATTTTTGTCTTTTAAGTATAATTTCATTTTCATGTCTTGCATACCAAACAAAAGTAATGCAAGGATTCCATTTAATTTTTTTGACATACCAAATATACTTTTATAATTCAATTATATTTCAATGCTGATTTAGATTTCAATTTCAATTCCATCAAAAACTATTCAATCATACCAAACGGGGCCTGATGCATTTTTAACTGAATTTCACATATCAATAAAGTAGTTATCTATTTTTAAACTAACTCTATTTTTTATATTTATTTGTATTAAAAACTCTACAATAAATATAAAATCATTCATTAATAGGGACACTTTAAAAAAAAGGCAATGCTTATATCTCAAAAGATTAAAAATATATTATATTTTTTAATATTCAATCCCTCAAATAATACCTTACATCTTTGAATGGAGGGAGTTTTTTTTTGTTTTAAAAAGTAAGTAATTTTTAATCAATTCATACGGCTTAAAGGGGTTAATTAAATTTATAATCATGTTTGAGATTGAAATATTTAAACTAAAATATCCTTACAGCTAATCAATCTTTCATGACTTTCTGGCCCTGTTTATAACAAAAATTAATAAAACATGCAATAATTTTCTCACGATGAAATGTTTAGTAATGCAGACTGCACAAGTGATGCTGATATATTGCTAAAAAAAAAAGAGTGAGTAATTAAAGCTGGTCGCCTTCGTACATGAAGCGCGCCTGCTTTTACCGTACGAAATGATGTGAAAAAGACTTCACTCGGTGGTCCATTTAACCACCACGCACTGTACCGTACGAAAACCCAACAATTTAACTTAATTTAATTTAATTAAGCGCCAAACCTTTGCCTTTAGCTTGCCTGCTTCTTGACTCGCTCCTTCTTACTGCATTGCCATTCTGCTTCTCATTTCTATTCCCCCCAGGTATCTCTCTCTCTCTCCTACTTGTTCAGCATCTCTGTCAATCTCATATTCATATTGCAGATCGGCCTCGCCTCTGCTTTCATTCTCCAGTTTCTTTGCTTCCAAACGCTTTTCACTTATTTGATAGGTGCTCGAGTTTCTCTGGTCTTTTTTTGCTGTTTATGCCGATGGCAGATTGGCTTCACTTTCGTCTCCATTCTCCAATTTCTTTGCTTCCTTAACAGTTGAACTTTCTCCCATTCTGAGGTAAAATCATCCTCTTTCTTTATATCCTCCTTTATTAGATGTCTTTGCTTCAGGTCTAAATAAGGTTGAACTACACACCATTTTGAGGTAAAGTGGTCGTATTTTCTCATATCATTTATTAAAGTTCGAGCTTGAATGCTGTTCATTATGCTCTGTGGACATTTCTGTGTTTTGGTTTTGAACTATTTTGTTATTGAGGTTTAAGTTATAAAAAAAGGTGACATTTGAGAACTATGATAAAAAAAAACCCATTGAAGTTTATAAAATCAAGTTGGGTAGGAACACGTTGACGCATGATATGCTTCAACTTAACTGTATATATGTTGAAGTAATCTCCACAGGATCTCTTCTGTTTGCTTTCTAAACACAAGGCCTTGTGCGATTAAGCACTTGATTGCTTTTATGACAAAGACAAGAGAATGGTCTGCTCTTGCTTTGTATAACGTAGGCAAACTAAATCTGGTTTAATTCACATCCTCATTTGAGAAGGCAGGTTTGCAACGCTCACACCAAATGTGCCAACAAACATAGCCAAAAAGCACATTCCCCACTCATTGCGCTGTGCCTATACAGAAAGCCAGCAATTTAATTTAGCTTAAGATTTAGATGTAAAAATACTTAGAAATTTTTTTTTTTGACATCTTCTTGTATCCTTAAATTAATAATGATAGATGGGTGCTCATTAATTTTATAAAAAACATTGACATTTCTCAATTTGTTAAAAATAATCTGACCTTGACTGTTATGTTCTATGGATGGAACTGATAGATTGAGGAAGGTTGGCTTCTTTTATCAAATTAACGGTACCACACATTATTATTGACTTAAAAATATTGTAATCTTATAGAGAATTTTTTTTAAAGATATTTTTTGCACTTAAATCCTTTAATTTAATTTTAATAACTACACAATTCTCCCTTCAATTCTTACAATATCATTACGATTCTGCTTCTTCTCAAGCATCCTCTTAATTACCTATTCCTCCCAGGTAACTCTCTTCATTTCTGTGCCCCCGTCTCTCAAGTCCCTTTGAGATCTTTCATGCTGCTTCAGGTAATAATAGACCCTCCTTTCTTTTCTTTCCCCCCCTACAAAATTCATTAATAACTGAATCTTAACTAAGTTTTTGTTTTTTTTTTGGTTGCTATATATGTAATTTAGTTCACCATCTCTGTATCTCATATTTGAGAGGTACTAAAGTAGTTTATCTTTTATTGCAGTTTGATTGCGGTGATTTCTTGATGTTTATGGCAATGGCAGATTGGCTTCACTTGTGTTTCCATTCTCCAATTTCTTTGGTTCTAAACACTTAGATTTGATGCCATTTTGGGGTAAATTGATATTTCTTTATAACATTTTTATTAAATTTCAAATATCAAATTTAGTTTAGTTTATATATGCTCTATGCTTATTTATGACAGATGATGCTTTCATGAGATCAATTACTTATTGGAGACTTAAATAATTTTTGTAAAACATGAAAATATGTTTCTGAAAGGTACTTCTAAACAAGCATTCATATTTTTTTTTTTACTTCCATTCTGAGCCTCTAATGGAATTTGTTCATTAAATTGCACAAAATAAAAAATAGAGGTATTAGTAATTCCATTGTCTCTTATCTGTGTATCACACTAAAATTTCTCCATTTTTCTTGCGGCATGCATGCCATGAATTTTACAGTTTTTTTGGCAGTTTAGGCTTCATTCATGTGTTAATTCATGTTTTTTCTTTACTTCCAAAAAATAGTTGAATTCTTCATGTCAGAAAAAAAAAATAAAAAGAAAAAGAGCTAAAATTGCGTGCCATTTTTTAGGTAACCTGATCGTATTAAACTAAAATAAATTTAAAAGCTTGGAAGAGATTAAGAAATAAAAATGACAAGTGTCCATAAAGATCATAAAAAGAATATAGTACATGATAAATTTCACGAAAAATAATACTATAAAATAATTGTATTTTAAAAAATTTGCCGCAATCGATAAGGTAATTAAAATAACTTTAAAAGCTATATTAATTAATTCACGATCTAAAGAGAAAATTCAATCACCAATTCATCCACTAATAGGTTCCAACTAATTCCAAGAACAAGAGTGTTTAGCCCCTCATTTTGATGACAATTTTTTCAAGTAAATAGACTGTCAATTAGCATTAGTACTTTGAGCTTCTTGTTGATTTATACTATCATTTAAGCATTAAAGTTAATTATAATAATAAATCATCTAACTAGTTGGGATTATTGAAATTTTGTACTAAAATTCATTAATAACTGCTTTTCAATTTTAGCCTTTTTCACCTTCCTAAATTAATGTTAAGATCTACTCTGTCTATATTATAAATTTCTCTCAACTATTTGACAAGAATGAAGAAAGGTAAATTTGTCTTAGAATTTTAAAAAATATTTTAATTTTACCTCTCTTAAAAAGGGAAAAAACATAATATTCAAGAAGGCCAGTAGAAATACTAAATTAGGCTTAAATTCTATTTTTAGGATTTTCTTACCTCTCTTAAAAATATTTTAATTGTCTTAGGATTTTAAAAAATATTAATTAATAAAGTAATATAATAACTTTTCTTAAAACGTGAAAATGTTTCTCAAGCACCTTTTGTGATTTTACGATCAACTTCTTTGAATTTCACAAACCGAAAAATCGGTTAAAAAAAAGAAGATTAGTATTTTTTGCATATATGTCCGTTTTCTCATGCTTCTTCTTATGGTTTCGTATTGTTAAAGCTTTTCCCCCTTTGGTAATTAGTTTTTGTGTGCCATGATTCGTTCTTATTTAGACCTTTTCTTGGCAGCTTTCTCTTGGTTGATTGTTAATTTGTTCTTACAAGTGATCCAAAATTCACAAAAAAAAAAGGAGACTAAATCTCCCAAAAAAATTAAGGTTAGCATATGTTTTGATTCTGTTTGTTTCTGTTACTCATTGTCATTTGGTTTATGTTTAATTTGACCTATTCGATTTTCTCACGTAGTGAATGTAGTAGTCTAATAGATATTATTTGGACAAAAAAAAAAAAAACTAATGCACTAAAATGAAAAACCAAAATTTAAGTTGCATGACATATTAACTTTCAATTACATAAACTAATTACATAGAAGAATGACACTTAAATTCGAAAAAAAATCAATTTTATAACAGTTAAGTCTTAATAAATTTTATTAAAAGATGAGTTGAAAATATTTATTAATAGTGACCTGCAAATGTGAGAAAAATTATCATGAGTGACTTATCATGAGACTAAAATATTGAATTTGCATTTATCACTCTGTCTCTGTGTCTCTCACTGTTAAAATTTATATTTGTAATTTATTTTTTAAATAAATTTTTAGTGATTCAACTATAATTAAACTAATCTTTTACACCCTAGTGTTATTCTCCAAAAAAACAAAAAAACGTAATGACTAGAAATTTGAACTGCCAAACGTGCTAACAAATAACTTATTATTACGTACATATTCATATATACCATATCTTCTACGTAATAAAAGCTGTTACTTGTGATTTAATAATTTGATATGCTCTTTCAGTTTCGTATTCGTTTTTTTGGCTGTTGTGATCTGTTGCGAGTTTGAAGGGAGAGAGAGAGAGAGGTTTCTCTCCTGTCGCAAGTTATCATCATTCAACAGTCAGAGTTCAAATCTCGGGGGCCAAAAAAAAAAAAAAAAAAGTGGGAAATATCCAATTTAATTCGAGTGATTTTCCTCCTCTGTGCGCGCGCGCGAGTGCGGCTTTTTTTTTTTTTTTTTAGTTACTGCTATTTATTTTCTTTTTCATCACTTTCAATTTCTTGAAGTACAGTATCATATTTATTATAAAACACTTTTAACCGTTTTATATATTTTAAAAAAAGTTAATTTTTTTTGCATCATAAAAAAATGAGATGCACTGTCATTTTTATTTTTATTTTTAAATAATAATATAATATATTAAATACATTCATGTTATCAAGAAAGGATAAAATTGAAAAAAGTGATTTAATTATTATAAAATATTTTATATTTTAAATAAAAAATTATTTTTAAAAAATGTTTTATAAATAAGATCACAAGGAGAATCTTCTATTCCAACTAAGATAGAATCCAATCTCCATTAAAATTCAAGACTTAAAAGTTGACTCCTTAAATCCTAACCAACCAATGTTGTCGTAATTGGATTGAGCACTGGTTCATTAAATTATAGTTGGACTAAGGGCTCTTACTGGTTTGGTTGATTGAACCGGCCAATCCAAATGCCTAAATGCAATCCAGCTCAGCCTAAAACCATTTTAAAAAATATTTAAAATATCTTTTAAGAAAAAATATAACTACTACCATTTAAAATATAATTTTTTGACAACCTAAAATATTTTTTTTCTATTGAACAATATTAAGATAAAAAATAATTATTTTAAAATTACATATGCTTAATAATTAACAATTATTTTTGCACTTATATCATTGTTAATTACGTTAAGGCGTTGAGTGTCCTGGACAAATATTTATAACTGATGACATTAAAAAATATATCAAAATCTTCGATTCATAAAAGCTGTCGTTAAACTTAGTTAAAGTTTATTTATGTTTTTCAAATTATTAATTTGTTAAAGAATTAATTTAAATAAAAAACGTAAAATTTGATAGCCGACTTTAAGTATTACAGTTCATTGGTATAAGCATGTGTATTATTTTATACCTCTTTGGCCACTATAATAGTTGCTTCTTATTAATCATTTCTGTGTTCTAATATTCGTCTATTTGATTTTTTAAAAAAACCTTTTTTGCAGTTTTATCTTCGTTGATTGCTTTTAGTTTTCTACAAATTCTATAAAAATCCAAAAAAAGATAGAAAAATCTGAAAAAAGGGAGGTTTCCTTGTCGAAGGCATCATCGAAGAAAGTTGAAATCTTCCACAAAAACAAAGGTAGTAAGTATACATTTTTAATGATGTATTATTATTGTGTACATTGCTATATTTGTCATTTGATCAAATTAAATGTATAGTTTATGATCTCTATGCTTATTTAGTTTATCATTTGCCAGAATATCAAATATAGTTTATGCTCTCTATGCTTATTTATGACAAATTAAATGAGGCTTTCATAAGATCGATTAATTATTAGATAGAGAGATAAATAATTGTTATAAAACATGAAGATATTTTCCTCCCCGAAAGGCACTTCGAAATAAGCATTCTTATTCTTATTATTTTTTGAACCTCCATTCTGAGCCTCTAATGGCATTTGTTGATTAAATTTCACAAAATAAAAACATAGTGATATTATTCATTCCATTATTATCTCACATCTGTGTATCATATTAATTTTTCTCCATTTTTCTTGCAGCTTGTGTACCATGATTTTAATGAATTTATGGCAGTTAGGCTTCATTCATCTGTTCATTCCTGTTTTCTCTGTGCTTCCAAGTAGTTGAATTCTTCAGGTCAGAAAAAGAAAAGAAAGAAAGAAAAAGAGCTTTATTGCACTCCTTTTTTGAGGTAAAGTGATCATTTATATCATTTATTAAAATTTGAATTTTGATTATTCTTTATGGGTATTTATGATTTTTGATATCTTAAATCTAAGTGGAAACATTAGATTTAAGAAAAACTCTAATTAAAACAGAAACAATGAAAGTTTATAGAAGGATGAAAGATCATATCTGCCCTTAAACTATTTTTCAATCCGTATTGGGTATCCTCTACACTAAGATGTGGTGCAATTTAATCCATTAACTAAAAAAATGTAGCAACTTACACTTTCTATGGTACCATTTATTTGTGAACAAATATTTTGCTTAATGATTGGGTTGGTCTGAGTAAACAGCAAAGAACAAAGGTAGTCTTAGTCAGAGAGAGAAGATAAGATTGTTAAATGAATGTGGAGTCCACAAATGAAAACTACCATGAAATGAATGGAAGGTGTAAGTTGCTACGTTTTGTTTAGTTGTTGGATTAATTTACATCACATTATAGTATATATAAAATATTCAATGTTTTTCAAAAAGTAGTTTAAGGGAAAATTTTACCACATTGTTTGTGGGAATTGAGAAAGCTGAAATTGTTTCTGATCAACAAAATTACTCTCAAATTTTACAAGCATTCCTATTATGCTTTAAGAAAAATGTTGTCAAATTGTATAAGCTAAAATTCTTTTTCATAATCTTATAATATAGTTCTTGAGAATCAGCAAGATTTTGTTGGAAATTAATAAACTTTACGATTATAAACTAAATGTGAAGATCTACATTATTATATATGAATACACGCGCATCGTAATAATTTATAATTCTAAAATGTGACTATCTCAATTATGAATTATAAGATATAGTAATTCAATATAAAATTGTAATTTTTTTTTTGGGGTACATTTATCACAAGTGCTAGCAACATATCAAAAATATTAACAATCCAAGAACGTCTACTCCCCCGTTTGTTTGTTTTTTTTGGGGCCCCAGCTAATTTCTTTTTCATTGAATATCATTTCACTAAACAAGAATTAAAGTAACATAGACATTTCATTTTATTATCCATGTTGATTATCTCATTTTTTTTTATGTATTGATAATTTGATATGATCTCTGAAGAAGTTCTTTTGGTATGCCAAAATTTGTTTGCATTTTAATTCTTCATTTTAATTTTTTATTTCTCTTTTTCTTTTTGGTTTGGTTTAATTTATATGTATATTTGTTTTATAAGAATATTGGCCCTATTGTTAGAGAGCTAGTAAGTGGGCAGGTTTGGCGCGTATGGGTCAATAGACTCAGGTCCAAATGGCCCATATAGTTTCAACTTCTTATGCCTGGCTTACCATATTACATTAAGGTTGCATTCGGTTGAGTAAATTTGAATTGAAAATTTCACATTTAAAATTTATAAATTTTAAATTCTTTATTTAGATGATATAGAAAAGAAAAAATTATTTATTTATTTTTTATAGTTTTAACTTAATTGTAACTCAGTTTTTGAATTTTAACTCGTTATAATTTAGTTTCTGAAGTTTTAACTCGATTATAAATCAATCCCTAAACTTTATCTTTAAAATGTAGTTCTTAAAATTTTAACTTCTTAAATACTTCTCTCTATATTTTAAAAAATAAAATTATAAGGATTAAAAATATTTTTAAATTTAGTACTAATATCATAAATTACTAAACCCTTTTAATATTTGTAAATATTAAAAGTTTAAAATATTTTTATTTTTATAATTTTATTTTTTGATTAAATTTCAACCTCTAATGGCATTTGTTGATTAAATTTCACAAAAGAAAAATACAAATATTAGTCATTTCATTATCATATACTCCTCCGATCCTCTTTATAAGTCATTTCTACTAACTCCATCAATATCAATGTAAAAGAAGTATAAGGAATAAAAGTATGTAGAATTCAAATTATGTCTCTATATAGCAAATCTAAAAAGTAATGTGTTATCTTTTCTCTCTGATGAAGAGTAATTTTCAAAATATTTTTGAAATATTACTTAAAAAGTCGCATCGTGATTTATAAATGGGATCGGAGGAAGTATCTGTCATCTGTGTTTCATATTAATTTTTTTTGCGCCCTGTGCACCTTGATTTTAACATATTTATGGCAGTTATGCTTCATTCATATGTTCATTCACGTTCTGTCTTTGCTTCCAAATGGTTGATTTCTTCGGTCAGGAAAGAATTAAGAAAAAAGGAAAAAGAGCTTTGTTTGTTGCCCTCCATTTTTGAGGTAAAGTCATGGTTTATACCATTTATTTAAGTTGAATTTTGATTATACTTTATGGGTACTTATATCTTTAGTTATCTTAAATTTAAGGGGAATATTTACGTTTAATATAAACTCTAATAAACAACTAATGGAAGTTTATAGAAGGGTGAAAGGACATATTTGCTCTTAAATTATTTTTCGATGAATATTGGACATCGTTTATATTATTATGTGGTGCAAATTAATCCATCAGCTAAAAAAAAAAAAAAACGTAGCAACATCCCTTCCAATTTCATTCATATTTAAAAGAAAATTTTTTAAATTTGCATTATATTTTCTCTGATAATTAATTAGTTTAAATAAAAATAATATTGAAAAAAAAACTAATGCCTCATCAAGTGTTTTATATGAAGAAATATTAATTTAGTTGACCTAAGATTAGTTTACTCAAATTTTTTGATAATAAATCTTTTTAACTACTATATAGAATCTTGAATCCTTTCAACTCAATATTTTTTTTTTTCCTTTTCAATTTTTTGTTCAGCTTTCCTCCGTTCACGCGCATCTTTTGTTACTAAACAGATTGTTTCGACATTTCTTTATTACCTTTTCATTTTCAGCCTTGACGCTATCAACGGCTTTTCCCGACGGAAAAAAAAAAAAGAGAAATGAATAAAAAAACAAAAAAAAAATTAATGATGGTTAAGTTCTTATAAATTTTTTTGAAAAATAAGTTATCCATATTAATTCAAATAATTATAAATTTAGAAGTTCAAATTCTAAATGTAACTCTCCATTTGTAATTGATATTTCTGTTTCTAAATGTCTTAATCAATATTTATAACTTATTTTTTGAAATTTTTTGGTTAAAGGCCTAGTTATTATTAATTCCCTTTTCTATAATTTTATTGTCGCTCTGATCACTCATCAGTAATTTCATTATCACTTAGTTGTCATGTATAGGGGAAAAAAAAGATAGAAAAGGCTTTTCTTTTTCTGCTGCACGGATTATTTATATAGGACCTGAAGTTTTCTCTCTATTTAGCAGTTTGTATACAGTGAATTCTTTGTATATCATATTTGGAAGCACTCTATACCATTTTTGGAGTCTTGATTTTAATGTTATGTCCATTTCAGATGGCATTTCCTGGGGAAGGTATTTTAACAGATCTTGCCAAGAGATTGGCAGATAAAACTATAACAGAAGTCAATTACTTTCGTCATTTTGACACTCATGTTTGCGAGTTTGAGCAACAACACAACGAGTTGGATGCAAAATTTGAAGAAGTGAATAATGATATTGAAGATGCCAAAAGAAAAAATGAGAACCCAACCAAAGATGTTGAGGTTTGGAAAGACAAAGCTTATATTCTAATTCAAGAGAATCGTAGAATCAAGCAGACATGGTCTTATAGTTCATGTCCTCATTGGAGATATTGACAAGGCAAGAGGTTGGCAAAGAGGATGCTAGCTATTAAAGATCACATACAAAAATGTAGCTTCGAAAGAGTGGCACATCCAGCTAAACTTCCAGGTATTAAATACCATGTTCTAGGAGACTTCATTGATTTTGAGAGCAGAAAATCAAAATTGAAGCAACTTGTAGAAGCTTTAGAAGATGGAAATCATCACATGGTTGGATTGCAAGGGATGGGGGGAACAGGCAAAACCACATTAGCAACACAAGTAGGCAAACAAATTGAAGAATCCAAAGCATTTGAGAAGGTCATCTTTGTCGTTGTGTCCAATCCTCCTGATATCAGCAAGATTCGAGATGACATTGCAAGGCAATTAGGATTGCCTTTAGACAAAGCAGCGGAAGCAGATCACTCAAAGCTCTTGTGGTCTAGAATTTCTAATAAAGAAAGGAAATTACTTATAATATTGGATGATGTGTGGGAAAAGCTAAATCTTACAAACATTGGGATTCCATCTGGACCTGATCATAAGAATTGCTATGTTTTGATAACCACTCGCCATTCAAGAGTTTGTGAAGCAATGAGATGCCAAAAAACGATTCACCTACACACATTAACTGACGAGGATGCATTGAATCTTTTTCTATTTCATGCTACAAGTAATAATGGTCTTTCAAGAAAAGAGTTGGAGGATCTTGCACGAGGTTTTGTGAAGGAGTGTGGAGGATTACCAATTGCAATTGCATCACTAGCTAGCACATTAAGAATTTGGCCAGTAAGTGAATGGAAGGAAGCTTTGGCAACCTTAAGAAAATCTGAGAAATTTCTTGATATTGATGAAGATTTAGTTCAGGTTTATAGATGCCTAAGCTTAAGCTATGGGAATTTGAGAAATGAGAAGGCCCAAAAACTCTTTCTATTGTGTTCTATTTTCCCAGAAGATTATGAAATTCCTATAAATCTTATTATCAGACTTGGTATAGGGGCTGGAATTTTTGGCAAAGTTGAAAATTATTGTGCGGGAAGAAGTCAAGTACTTGGAGTGAAAAATGAACTTGTAGCTTCCACTTTGCTGTTGAAGGTTGACGAGAAAGAATGTGTAAAAATGCACGACTTGGTTCGTGAAGTGGCCTTGTGGATGGCAAAGGAGGATATTCAAGTGATCATGGATTCAAGGACAGCTTTAGAAACAAGCAAGAGAATTGTGTTTTGGAGTACTAATGATTTTCCAGATCAGTTTGATGGTGCAAAACTTGAAATTCTATTCCTTTAGATAAAAGGAGATGTTTTGGTGAAAAACCCAGAAACATTGTTCGCGGGGGTGGCAGGCCTCAGCATTCTTTTTTTACTTGGCAGGCCTAAGAAGCATTCTATTCCATCATTGTCACAATCACTTCTTTCATTAAAGAACATGCAAACTCTCATCTTGGATGGTTGGGAATTAGGTGACATCTCTATCTTGAAAAACTTACAAAGTCTTGTGACTCTTGAGTTGAAAAATTGTATAATAATTGAATTACCTAAAGATATCAAGGAATTAAAGAAGTTGAGATTGTTGGGATTAAGGAAGTGTGAAATTCAAAAGAACAATCCTTTTAAAGTGATTGAAACATGTTCCCAATTGGAAGAACTATATTTTGTTAAGAATGAGGATGTCGAAGATTGGAAGCTGCATCTTGACAAAGAAACTAGAGATGAAATTACTCATGATATATCTCCTCCAATATTGGGAATGTTTTCTATTGCTTGTGATGGTTATGAATATTTTAATGGGGATGATAATGGCTTGTTAAGATGCTTCAATACAAAACATGTGGAAGATTTAATTTCAAAATCCATGTTTAAGTACATTGTAGGAAGAGCAGAGGTTCTTGAGTTGGGAAAAAGGGAAGAAACAGGATGGAAATGCCTCATCCCTGACATTATTCCTGTGAAAGATGGAGGCATGAATGATTTAATTAAGCTTTGTTTGTATGAATGGGATGAGATTGAGTACCTCATTGATACTAGGAAGCATTGTTATTCAGAAGCCTTCTCCAAGCTGGTTGAACTACATTTGAATGGTGTGGATGTGAAAGAATTGTGTGGTGGTCTTCCGCCTTCTGGATTTCTTAAGAAGCTACAAATTTTAAACTTAAGGGAGTGTAAAAAATTGCACAACATATTCTTTGATGTCAATTTCAAAGTTCCTCATCTAAAGATTTTGACGTTAAGGAATTGTCCAATGTTCCAACCATCAATTTTCCCACTATTTGTTGCTCAAAGTCTGGTGCAGTTGGAAAATTTTACGATTGGAGATTGTGAGGACTTAAAAAGTTTAATCACATATGAGAGTCTTGGAAACGAATTAGGAGATGTTGATAATCAAAAGAGCTATGGCTTACCGTTTCCAAAGTTAAAGAATCTTAAAATTGAAGGATGTCATAAACTAGAATTGGTGTCACCCTTCCTTTTGGCAGGAGACCTTCCCCTTTTGGAAGAGATATATATATGGAATTGCAAGGAGCTAAAATACATATTTGGTAAATACCAAAATGAGGGCCATGTTTTGCATCAAGAGAATGAGCTTCCTTCCTTGAAGACAATGCGCCTTTCTTCTACACCAAATTTCATTAGCATTGTTCGAGAATTGAAGAAATGTATGCCGGTGCCATCTCCAGTTTTGAAAGAAGATTCAAAGGAGAAAAATGAAAACTCTAAGATGAGTGCTTTCTCATGGGCTCCTGGATGTTGTTTTCTACCAGCAACTAAAGACAGTGATAGTATTGGAGCATCTAATGGCACAATGCAACACCACCACCAAATTTCATCGGTATGTTCCACTTGTCCCTCTCTTTTTCAACATTTATTTTGTTAACTTGTTCATGCTATTAAATTGGCCTTTGATTAATTAAACTTGAATTATAGTATAAACAAACGATAAATAATATTCTCATCTAAGATCTGTTGAGATGTCATATATAAAGAGGATTATATTGTAATAGAACTATTCTAGAATGCTTGATTTGTTGAAAGTGTGATTTGATATTTTCAAAATATGAAAATGCCATCAGAGAAATGGTGGGTGCGTGCGTGCATGCGTGAAATTGCTAAAAATACAGTTGTAATAAAATTTTTGGGTCTAACTATAATAGTTTTAACTACAAATTCTTTAACATGTAAATTGATAATACTAAGTGGTAGATCATAGGAAATTGTTGAGATTTCAACTATCGTTGTTGAATAAATAAATGTCAAATTCCGTGGTTTTTTTTATTTGGATATTCAATTTTTTATCATCTTATTTCTAAAACAGAGAATGTTTAGCATCAAGAGGCAAGTGTTTCGGTTATTTAATTAATATTTAATTATATTTGATGAATTTATCTTAAATGCCAACAATGACACGTGACAATTTATAAAAGCACATGATGCTTGACATTTGCTTTTCATTTATCATATTTCCTCCCCTAAACTCAATGTAATCGCATTAGATGATAGAATTAGTTTTTTTTTTTTTTACTGACAAATTAGTTATGAGTTGAACATAAGGGGAAAATGTGTCTTTGTAGGAATTACCTGCATCAATGGAATTGATTCAATCATTTCATGAAGCAAAGTGTCTTATGAGTAAGCCGTTGAAGCTACAAAATATCATATACATGGAATTTTGGGATTGTTCAAAATTAAAGTCGTTGTTCAGTGTTTCCATTGCCAAAACCATCATGTTGGAGCGCTTGGAGATTGGGAACTGTGAAGAATTGAAGCACATAATAACAAATGTAGCAGAGGATGATGACCATCTCAATTGCACCTCCATCTTCCCAAATCTAGAAAGCCTCCAAATTAGGAATTGTAATAAGTTGGAATTTATATTTCCATCCACTTTTTCTGGAGGTCTGCAAAAACTAAAATCTATATGGATTCATGGAGCTTCTGAATTGAAGCATGTTTTTGGAAAATATGACCCTGAAGATTATGTATCAAACGAGAATGAGAATAATGAGCCTCGCATTGATCTTCCTGTATTGGAAACACTATCCCTCATAGAGGTACCAAATATTATCAGCATTCATATCAAGAAGTATCATCTAGAATGCCCATCTCTACAAACTGTGGAAGCACCAAAGGTATTTTTTTTTTTTTAACTTATTGCTTTATATCAAGTACATCATGCCTTCTTGTTTGGCCCAAAAGATATTGACATGCATCTTTGCCGGTAATGCTGTGAAATTTCGCTTAAAAGAAAGTTATTTGTGAGTTTACTGTTAAATTGTCAACTTGTTAAGCTTATGTGTGTGTGTGTGTATTGACATATAGAGTAGTTTTTTATTATTTCCATTTATGAGATAGAGTCGTTAAGGTAAAATTTCGCTTAAGATGCTTGATTTATTATTTTTATTTACAGGATAGAGTAGTTATCTGAAAAATATTTCTATACGTGATTAAAAAATAATTTCTAAAATTGTTTTTATTATATTTAAATATTTACAAGTCAAACATAACATATTTACAAGTAAATATTTAAAATTTTAATTTGTAAATATGTATTGTTTGATTCAAAATATTTAAATATGAATAATATAATAAAAATATTTTCTTAAAAAAAAGTATTTTTTTGACCAACTGCTGGATGGGGATTGGTAAATGACTATTGGCCATCGGACAACGACAGCAAGCGGTTGGTCAAAGTCAATCAAAGAATTGTGTGTCTAAAGACATTTGAGTTATTTTACGTGGTAAATTAATTTTTTTTTTTTGGTTACCGTTGTATATCCTCGTATTGAATATAATCTTTTAAGATACTATTAGGTATTAAATGTATGCATATTTTTTAATAAAGATTCAAACTTCAATTCACCATGTAATGAGAGATTAATCATTTTCACTAGACACAACTTTTGTTGATTGATAAAATAATTATAATTAAGTTCTATAGAACTTAAAGTGTTTTCACAATTTTGTAGGACTTATTTTTAAATATGATTCTCATATGGACTCACTTATAATTTTTCCTTAATAATCATTTTTATTTTTTGAATCCTTAAATTAAATAAACATTTTTTTGGGCTTGTTTTCAGAAGTTGAAAAAAATTTAATTATAAGAAAAATTTGATTCATTTCTTATACTTTACGTTTGAGATTTGTATTTTTCAGCATTTCTTAAATAAATAAACTTATTTATTTTAAAGTTATAGTTCTAATCATTTTATTAAAATGATTTTAAAATGATTTATTTTATGGTTGTTATTTTTTATATAGTAAATTAAAATATTTTCATTTTGTGTACAGAAAACATTTTCAATTTTCATTCTTAATGCGTGAATTTTTTATTTTAAACATAAATATTTTCTTTTATAATAATTAAATTAATACATAATAATTTTAATTAAATGAATTTTGAACGTACAAGTTATTATTTTCTATTAGCTTATTTAACCATGTTAATTACTAAAATTTTTATATTTTGAAAATTAAAGAATTAACACAGCTAACTGAAATGAATTTTGCCATGATTTTTTTTAAAAAAAGATCGACTAAATGTATGTCATGTCCTAAAATTGTTAGTTATGGTTTAGAAAATTAAAATTTATATTTTTGTTGTCGGGTTACCATTCATTGATTCTGATTATCTTTTGAAGAAATTTAAAAAATTATAACTAATTTTTGAAAAATATATCAACATAGTTGGAGTATCCATTTAAGGCTCTCTGAATGCTCTATATGGACAAAATATAATTCTGGACCTTGATTGTATATGTTACTGTGTTGAAATACTTTGTATGTAGATGATGTAGATGTAGATCTTATCACGAAGGAAAGTTGTTAGCTAACACTTGATAGATAGATTACAAAAAGAAAAATCTTAGCTTACACAGAACATTTAGGGTTGGTTTGGTTTACTGACATTTTACATTCAAAAAGAACTTTTGAAAATTTAAGAATGTAAAAATTGTTTGGTTTCCTCAAATTATTTTCAAAGTCCATTTAAAAAATAAATTCAAAAAGCTCCAAAAGTTTATTTATTGAACATAACTTTGGGTAGCATTCAAAAAATACTTTGCATAATTTTTTCACCAACTGGTTCTCACTTTTCTCTTTTTACTCAATTATTATTATAATCGAAATAATTTTTAATTTATTAAATTAATGGAACCAATGACGAATCATATCATAATGTTTACAATCTTAGAAATTTCGCAAATGTATCATGCATGTTTGTACATATTTGTTTTTTTTTTTTGGATTAAAATTGGACTCATTGGAGGCTAAGTTTCACAGAGGTGGGATGATGAATTTTTATTGTAATTTGGAATTGAATTTCCTCTTTTTAAAACCTGCAAGAATTTAATTTGTAGATGCAAGATGTGGCGAGTGAAGGAGCTAAGGAATCTGAGAAAAAAGAGATTGTTGATGCTGGAAGACCAGTGATTCCAAACATGGGCATCGAATTTGTTCTCAACTTCCATACTCTTAAAAAAATAAGAATTGGAAGATTTAAAAAGTTGAAAACTATGTTCTTTTTATCTTCGTGGAAAAACCTACCACAGTTGTCCCAGTTACATATAGAAGACTGTGAGGAATTAGTTAATGTGGTTGAAGATGATTCTAAGAATTATGATCATATCAATTATAGCTCCGTTGTCTCAAAGCTGGAGCATCTTGAAATCTGTAGATGCAACAAGTTGGAATTTATATTTCCTCACTCCTCTTTTGGTGGTCTTAAAAAATTAAAGTATTTGAGTGTCCGAAAAGTTGCAGAGTTGAAATACATTTTTGGAAAACATCATCAAGGAGATTATGCATCAAATGAGAATGAAAGCGATGAGGTCCACATTGATTTCCCAGCTTTGGAAAGTCTCTATCTCTGGGATGTACCAAAGATGATCAACATTATTTGTGCAAAAAATTATCACCTGAGCTTTCCATCTCTACGATGGATTGGTTTAGATGACTGTCAAGAGATAAACGGAAGATCTTTTCTGGATTTGATGGTTTGCTTACAAGGGAGACAATCAGATGTGAAAACTGAAAAGGTAATACGTTTAACATATTGTTCTATGATATGTATTGCTATGTTGATTTGGCCCTTGGAAATTTTTTCATCACAACAATTTTTTTGTGTATAAAAAATAATTTGAATTTTTATTCTTAATGCGTGAATTTTTATTTTAAACACAAATATTTCTATTATAATAATTAAATTAATACATAATAATTTTAAATAAATAAATAAACACAAATTTTTTCTTATACTTTAGGTTTGAGATTTGAATTTTTCAGCATTTCTTAAATAAATAAACTTTTATTTTAAAGTTATAGTTCTAATCATTTTATTAAGATACTTTAAAAATGATTTATTTTATGGTGGTTATTTTTTATATGGTAAATTAAAATATTTTCATTTTGTATACAAAAATATTTTCAATTTTTTTTCTTAGTGCGTGAATTTTTTATTTTAAGCACAGATATTTCTATTATAGTATTAATTTAGTACATAATAATTTTAATTAAATGAATTATGAGCATACAATTTATCATTTTCTATTAGCTCATTTAACCACGTTAAGTACTAAAATGTTTTGGTTATATTGTGAGAATTAAAGAACTAACACAGCTCACTGAAATGAATTCTACCATAACGTTAAAAAAAAAAAAAAGATTGACCAAATGGATGTCATGTCCTAAAATTGTTAGTTATGGTTTAGAAAATTAAAATTTATATTTTTGTTGTCGGTTTACCATTCATTTATTCTGATTATCTTTTGAAGAAATTTAAAAAATTTTAACTAATTTTTGAAAAATCATATCGACATAGTTGGAGTATCCATTTAAAGCTATTTGAATGCTCTATATGGACAAAATATATTCTTAAACTTTCAAAGGTTCTCTTTGATTGTAAAATGTAAGTAAACCAAATGGGCCCTAAATATTTCTGGATTTGACAGTTTGTTTACAAGAGAGACAATGAAATGTGAAAACTGAAATGGTAATACATTTGACATATTGTTCTATGATATGTATTGCTACGTTGATTTGGCCCTTGCAAATTTTTTTATCACAACAACTTTTTTAGAATTCAATTAAAAATACAAGTAATATAGTGTTCATACATAGAAATTTGTTGTTTGCATCACTATATGCCTTTGGTTGATATAATTAGGCATAACTCATGTCTTTATAGGCATTCTATACAACAAATCAAGTTTCTCCGCTTAATATAATTCAAATCCATTAATAATGGTATTGGGAATCCTCACAACTTGATAATGTTTTCATTTATATATTGTAACTGATTCAAAATGTTACCGATTTGCACTCTGGCTATGTGAATTAGATGGACCATATTAATTTTATCTTGAAATGGTACATGCTTATTAATGTGTAGATATGAATGAGAATATGACTTTCCTTTGATATTGTCTTATCTATGCACTGAACTTTGATGAGAGATGACCTTTGAATTTACGCTGAAATTTTGAACGGATAAATCTTTATTAGGACTTGATGAAAATTATCAAGGACATGCAAAGGTTGATGTACCTTAGAGTAAGCAACTCAAAAATACAAGAGGTCTTTAATTTAGAAGAAGTGAAAATTGAAGGTTCAGTGACATTAAGCTTAGAAAGCATGAGTTTGGAAAATCTAAGTGAATTGAGGCATATATGGAAGGGCCCCAAATATATGCTGAGCCACCACAACCTTCGATGGCTGACACTCAAAGCATGTGAAAAGCTTAGATCAATCTTCTGTGTCCCAGTATTGAAAAGCCTCCCATCATTGTCCTATTTAGAGATAGAAGACTGTGAAGAATTAGTTCATATTATTGAAGAGGATTGTGAAGAAAGTGCTAATGACCAATTCCATCAACTTTTCTTCCCAAATTTACAAGAAATTTGCATCAGGCGTTGTAATAGCTTGAAATGCCTTTTCTTGATATCAACATCTGCCATGTTTCCAATGCTACGGGGGTTAAAAATTGAAGAATCCCTTGAGATGGAACAAGTAATTGCATGCAAACAACATCATAACCAGAAGATGGTGGTGAAAGATGTATTTCCAAAACTGTCGAATTTAACACTTGGAAAACTGCCAAGGCTTGTTACAATTTGTGGGGAGATTGATTTTCGTTCCGTACAGAGCTATCAAGTGGTTGATTGTCCCAAATATCAAGGTATGAATTTGTGAAACGTTACTTTACATAATTGCTAGTTTTTATTTTTTTGGTGAAAAAAGGCACAGCCCATGCTAGCTGCTAGTTTTAATAACACTAATAATATTTTGTTCAAATTTTCCATAGAAATTACTTCTCAACTTCAAGGAGGGCCTGAAGATCTTGATTCAAAAAATCAAGCATCAACAGAGGGGCTAGTTTCTGCTCATTCCAATAATGCTCATCAAATGCCACATATGGGAGAAACAAGTGCTTCCCGAAACCCCACAGAGGTATGCTAGCCTAACCATTTAATCAATTAATTTGTGGCCTCATTTCAATAAACCAACAAACATTTTTTTAGAGAAAATTAATCTGGAGATCCTTCTGGTTCTTATTGATTTTGAATTAAATCTTTTTAGTTTATTTTGTTTCAATTGAGCTCTTATAGTTTGACCCATTAAATATATTAGTCCATGAATAATATTAAAATTATTAATGAATAATTAACTTTTCCAAAACAAAACACTTTTAAAATTTATTAAAAAAAAGTAATTTAATATTTTAAGCCAAAAAAAGCAAAAAGAAAATTTGATTAAATGCAATGCTTATATTTTTATGAATATTTTTTGGCTTATATTTTAAAATTTGATTAAAAACCCATTAAATATTTTTTTGTGAAAATTCTATATTTATTAAATGTTAGAAAAAATAACCTTATTATATAAATTTTGAGTTATAAAAATTATGTAATTAATTCTAAAATTATATAATCTTTTAATAAAAATATAAAAGTTCTTAATTTTATTTTTTAATAGAAAAACTTCATGGATTTTAAGCCTTAGGAATGAGCATATTTAAAAAAAAATTATAAGGACCTGATTCAAAATTTTAAAAAAACTAGAAGGACTTACAGGTCAGTTTTTCTTTTTTTAAAAAAATATTTTATTGCAGTATTAAGTTTAACATTTTCATAAACTTGTTCACATATTATTGCTTGTCTAGTTAGTTAGAATAATAAGGAGGCAAAATAGAAAAAATATTAAAGATTACATTTCAAGGATATCATCAATAGTACCATTGAGTCTTAGATTCGAGAGAAGACTTTCTTTGTATATTTGAATTTTTATAACAGTACAAGAAAAAGTTGATTTTGAACAGAATGCTATAAATAGAGCGTAGGGATATGATTGATGACTCTCTAGGCCTTTTTTCAAAGTTATTATTGGGTATGAGGAAGGCTTCAAAAGAAACTTTTAAGTAACAAGCCGCTACTCTTGATAAAGCAAAGTGAATATAAAAGATTTTGAAAAATTATTGGAAATATCAAAGATATGTTGTCGAGTTAGATGATTCAGACATGTTTGTACAATGTAAAAGTCATCACGAATAAAATGTATCCTTGGATGTTGTAGAGTAAGGAGGAAACCATAATGGAAATTGAATCCAAGGGTCCTACTCCAGCGTTAGAGAAACAAGCATTGGAAACTGCAACAGTTGAATCACAATCCAGGAGGACATCTCTGGATGCAAGTTTATCCAAAATCCAAAATTGTCAAATACTAATGATTTGTTTGATAATTGTTTAATATTTCTAATAGGGCTTGGAGGATGAATGCATAAAGAATGAATCAATCGCACAGCCCCAACATCAGGATCTTAAAGAAACAGAATCATCCATTGAAGCATGCCGCAGAACTAATATACCATTTCATGATGATGTGCGTCACAACAATGAAAATTAGTGATTTTGAAGTGGCCTCTTTATAAAATGTGATATCTTTACTATTTTGTGTTGTTCAGAGTATTGACGACAAATTAAAAGAAAGAGTTCATGAGGGTCCCACGTTAGAGAACAGGGTGCAAGCAGCTCTGTTAGCTGATATAGCAAGAAGGAACTCATCAGCATTCACCACTCCTCTCCAAGAAGAGTTCCCATTGGTTATCGATTTGTGTCTTATGCCCTTTTTAAAATAAAGGATTAGAAAGATACTAATTAAATGGCTTAAACGTGTGCCTTTTTCTATATTTATTGCTTGTTTTAGGATTTGATGGAGATAGAATCAGGAAGAGAAACGAGTATGACATACCGACAAGAACTAGGAGAAATGGTAACTGTCTTATACTTTGAAGTTTGAACTCTTCAAAAAATATTGTTAGAATTCAAAAATGTGATACTTAGATATATTTTGGTACTTTTGTAGAGTGTAGTTGAAGGTTTTCCAGAAGACACTGCAATTGCGAAAACTAAAATGGTTACTTCCTCACTCTATTCACAAGGAGGAGGCTTAGAGCCCGGCCTACCAGCATTGGTAAGTTCACAACATTCAGTTTAAACTTGTAGAACGTTTTTATACATACAAGTTCAAGTACCCGTTCATTACATCTTCACATGTAAATACCAACAAGACTATGGCATATATCTAGCCTTCACTTTTCTTTTATTATTTATATATCTAAATGTTATAGAAAAAGAATTTAATATTGGACAAAGTAAATATATATGAATTAATGAAGTTATCATAGTTGAACTACTTTGTTATAACTCTTGGTGCAACTTTTGGTGTGATTCAGTTTGATAGAGAAACAGGGAAGGAAGTTGGCAAAGTAGTTCCTACTAGGAAATTATCAACAACTTCACCTGATTTTGAGGTGATCAAGATAGAATCTCTAACCTCTTTATATTCCTATCACTTGATAAACTAGGAAAATGAAACATTCTTATGATATATAAAATGCATTTGAATACAGGTTAAACTACAAGGTACCTAAGACCAGCTTTTTTATAACATTTATACTTGGTGTAGCGGTTGATTAGTGCATAAAGAAATAAATTATATTCTATGAAATAATGAAATTGTTTGATTGAGCAAATTTTATCATTTTGATGTTACTCAGAGCTTAAAGACAGGGAAAGAAGTTGTTGGAATGCTTCGTACTCCAAGGTTATCAACGGCTGCAACTTCATCAGATTTAGAGGTGCCCAAAATGACATCTCCCAGCCCTATCTAACATAAAAATGAAAGTGGTTATAAAAGTTGAAACTGATTTTTTTTTTTTAAATAAACGAACATCCAATGACTGAAAAGCAAACACTTACGGTTTAGGATTGATCAATTGCTATGCCCTTTCGTAATATAATATTAGGAATAAGCTAATTAAATAGCTTAAACTTGTACCTTTTTCTATATTCAAGGATTGTTTTAGGATTTAATGAAGACAAAGTTGAGAAGTGAAACAATCATGAGACACCAGCAAGAACCGGAGGAAAGACAATTACTGTATACATACATATATTAAAGGATCTAAGAATTTTAATTAAATGACCAAATTCTTACATATATCTTTTTTGCATTCTATAGAGTAGGAATGAAAGTATTCCGAAAGACACTACACCAAGGAAATATAAAATAAATACTTCCTCCATGCATTCACAAGCAGAAACCTCACAATCAAATCCACCTGCACAAGTAAGTTCACATTCCATTTAAACTTGTAGCATTTTTTATTTAATTTTGCCATTGTAAACTTAGATGCCAACCATTCATTACATCTTCGCGGGTCAATACCAACAAATCTCCACCCAGTATCTTGTCTCAAATTTGTTTATGTTATTTACATGCATAAATTGATTAGTCAATAAAAAATGAGTTCTATGATTTAATGAAAACACTCTTATCAAATAAGTTCGATCGTTGGGTATTACTGTATTAGAAACGGGGGAGGAAGGTTTTTTGCACATTATTCTTCAAAATAGTTTTCAATTCTTCACATCTGTGTTTACCTTGATTTTTTTTAATAATTTTGAATAATACATGAAAATGGATAAAAGGGTTAAGACTAATCTTTTGTCCATCTTCATATTTAGTATTTTCTTAAGATCAAAGAACTGCAAACAAGCAAACCAAATTTTAAAGACCAACAAAAAGCAAACGAATATACGGAAAATGAAGCAAATGGAGTATGTTATTTTTTGTTATCCACTTGATAGTAGTCTCTTTTTGGCAAAAGTAACAACAATGAAAGTACGACTTCTTTATCTTGTTTAGGTTACTCCAAGCATCAAAGTAACATTGGAGCAAGGACTTCAAGAGAGTTATGCAACAGAAGAAGCCATAACAGCAAATCAATCAATTAGTTTAGATTCAGAGAAGCAATCAAGATTAGTTAGTCTCTTAGAAAAAGAAAAGGCACAGGTAAGTTCATCATCCTTTCCTAATTAATCTGGGAACTGAAGTATTTTGCATATTCATCATGATATAAGAGATGGGCAAACAATCACTATGTTTCTGGTTTTTAGAGCACTAACAAAGCTTCGAAGGAAATATTTGAAAATACTTCAAAGTCAGCTCTGTTTGATTCAGCACTCATAAGAGTGCTTATATGTCACCTCACTTTTTTATATATTTCATCATCACATGAACAACTTGCAAGAGCATGTTTCTGCTTCAGTGAATAAGTGAAGTTACTTTAGTAAACAAATTTAATCTTTTGTTGTGGTTTAGAGCTTTGAAAAAGGGAAGGAAGTTGCAGCATTAACCACAGCTTCATCAAATCCAAAGGTGATCCAAATGACATTTCCAAAGAAAATATATTCCATAGTCTATGAATTCATGAGGTTGTGTGATTGAACAATTTTTTTTTTTTCATTTTGATGTCACTCAGCTCTCAGAAACAGGGAAGGAAGCTGTTGGAATACTTCTTACTTCAGGGTTATCAATGGCTACAACTTCATCAAATTTAGAGGTTATCAAAATCACATCTCCAAACTCTTTCTATTATTAGCATGAAAGTGGTTATAAAAAGTTAAGACTGATTCTCTTTTTTAACGATCATCCAATGTCTGAACAATAGGCACTTGCAGCCTTGGAATGGTTAGTGTGTTATGCCCTTAATATTAGGAGTATGATGATATTTTTATGTACAATATTAGGATTTGGTGAAGACAAAGTTAGAAAGTGAAATTTCACCTCTTGCATACTCAATCTTTTCAGGCAATATTGCAGAACCTATCAGTTTTAAGTATATGACCAAATACTTACATATCCCTATTGTCTGTACAGAGTGTAAGTGAAAGTATTCCAGAAGTCACTACACCTATGAAAGCTAAAATAAATACTTCCTCAATTTATATACAAGAATCCTCACAACTGGATCCACCAGCAAAAGTAAGTTCACTACATTCACGTTAAAATTGTAGCATTTTTTTTTTTCACTTTACAATTGTAAGTTTAGAAGGCAAGTTGACAACCATTCAATACATCTTCACGGATCAATAACAATAAATCTACACAAAAATATCTTGTCCCAACTTATTTTGTTATATATATACATATTTGAATTAATTTTTCAATTCAAAAAATAAGTTTTGTGGTTTAATGAAGTTACTTTATCAAATAAACTACATCTTTTGGTATTACTCCAATATTAGAAAGAGGGGAGGGAGGAGTTGCAATTATTCTTGAAATTCGTTTCTAATCTTCACATGAAATTAGTTTCCAGCTGTATTTGCCTTGACGGTTTTAATAGATTTGCATAACATAAGAAAATATATAAAAGGGTTAAGACAAATCTTTTGTGCATCTTAATATTTGGTATTCTTTTTTATGATCAATGAACTGCAAACAAGCAAAGCAGATTTTAAATACAAACAAGAAGCCATTGGAGATGTAGAAAATACTACTAAAATTCTTGAGGAACCAATATATGCTATTTTTATCCTCCACGTAACTTAATGCTAGTTACTTGTTGGCAAATGCAACATCATTGATACTACAACATTTCTTTCTCTTGTGTAGGTTATTTCAAGTATTGAAGCCAAAATAGCAAATCAATCAATTGATTTAGATTCAGTAAAGCAATCTAGATTAGTTGGTCTCTCAGAAAAAGAACAGGCACAGGTAAGTTAATTATCCTTTCCTAATTAATATAGAACCTAAGTATTATAGACTGTAGATAGGCTTTAACCTTTGCTTATTCATTATTATATAATAGATGGGCAAACAATCGCTCTCAAAGTATGATGAGCTTATGAATGTCTTTAACAGTTTAATAGTTTGCTTTTATGTTCCTAATTTATAGAGTACTAACGAAGCTTCAAAGAGAACTGTTGAAGAAGTTTCTGCTTCAGAGGCATCATCAAAGTCAACTCAGTTTGACTCAGAATTTGTAAGAGGGCGCTTCTATGCCTTCTAACCTTAATAGAGTTGTAAACAACATCAAATTTTGAAGGTCTGCATCAAATTAACTATAACTAACATTTTGTTTTATGTAGACTGAGAAAGAAACAATGAATGGAAGTGTTCAAGAGGAGCATAAAGCAAACAAGGCTCCAAAAGCAAACCTGTCAACGGACCCACAACGTTATTTGCCAAACCCAGCAAAGGGCAATACGGCCCTTGTTGATGTGATCCCTCCTCCTCTTCATCAACGTAAGTGTCTTTCTTTGTGTGACGATTTGATGTTTTCCATTCAATCATCTGCTAACTTTCGTGGATATGCCAGAAGCACAAATTGATGTTGCAACCCCTTCATCTCCTACGTTAGGGATTAGTGAAATTTTCGAAATAGTGGATTTGAAAGATGGCGAACCTGCATTGCTCGCCAATGCGCTCGAGCGATATCCACAGCTAAGGCTACCTCGCGAACAACGCACCAATCGAATTATAGCTTTGTCCTACCGAGTGCTCCTTGACATTTTGGTCATCCTAGCCACCAAGACTCCCCGTACCATTACACCATCGGATAGATCGATTCTGGAGGCGAACTTAGGGGAAGCGACTATTCTTGGGTTCGACAAAGAGTGGATTGAATCAGTTCGCGCCAAAATTTCTGGCTCTGATACGATTGATGTCTTGGTGGCAGAGAAGGAGATGGTAGACATGGAGGCGAAGCTGGAAACATGTGAAATTGCGTTGGATGAGGTCTATAAGCATAGAGCAGAAGCAAAAGAATGGCTTGAAGCCATTGATTCTCAGTTGTTGGGTCTTCTAGAAGATCGCAAGAAATTGGTTATCAAGATATCAAAAACTAGGGAAATAGTGAGTGCCATGGATATACCTTTTGGCTTTTAGGTTTCCTAATTGTCGGCTTGTGTTCATCAAAGAAGTAGCCTGTTGTATCTATGACACAGAATTGTAGACCAATTTTCTGGCTCTGGGTGCGTTTAGGCGTTCAGCACTTCAGCCTAATATATTTTCAAAGGATTGTTATAAAACAAAGGATATATTGTTATGAATATTATAATTAGTGTGCTGCAATGTCCTTTATAAATATTAGTAATAGTAATTATTTTAATTTAAATAATGATTATGTGTTTTTGGTAATCACTAAATAACAATATAAATGACAGTTTTGGCTTTGCAAAAGATTAAATTGAAGACATTATATTTATTTCACAAAAAATATTAATTTCAGAAAGGTTTAAAAAATTTTAAAAAAATTATCACATTTAGTAAGACTTTATTGTCTTTTTTCTTTTGCCTAAACCTTATTATTCTTTATATATTTCAAGAAAATTTTACTGTCATTTTCTCTAAAAGAATTTCTAGTATTTATTTTATATAACTTCTAATTGTACAATCATATGTTTAATTCTCATCTTTGTAAACTTGTAATTTGTAGGGTTAGTCCTTAAAATTAGAGCCCAATAGAGAAGATGTGCACGCATTTGTGACAACATAAAAGAATAAAAATTACTCCTCCTTTACTCTCCAATCTCTTTTGTCTTTTTCATCTTTATTATTCTAATATTCTTTTGTCGATTTCATTTCTCTTATCTAGAATCTCTATTATATTTTTTTTAATTTTATAGTATGTTATCAGTATGAAACTCAATTAATTAGTTAATAGCTTGAAAGATTTATTATTGATGATTGTTGAATTTTGTTCGTGAAAATATAAATTATTTGCACGTTGATCATTATATATTTTTATTTTAGTTTTGATGGATTTTTTTTTTTTTTTGTGTTCCTCTAAATTTCTTCATTAATTCAATAATAGGTTTCATAATGTTCCAGTTACGATACACACACACATGTACAAAAGGAATGTCGATTATATTTTTAATACAAAACAGAGTGATGTGCAAACATTTGTAACATCTTAAATAAATAAGGATCATCCCTCATTTACTCTCAAATTCTATTGTCTTCTTTATTTCCATTATTCATCTGTTCTTTTATTTTGTTCATCTCTCTCATTTTAAGTCTCTCTTACATTTCTTATAATTTTATAATATGTTATTAGCACTATGCTCTACCAAATTAGTTCATAGCATAAATTTGAAGGATTTATTATTGATGCTTATTGATTTTTGTTTGTGGAATAATAAATTTCTTCATAGAAATTATTTGTAATTTGATCTTTATATATTTTTATTTTAATCTTTCTTGACTTTTCTTGTTTCTTTAAATTTCATCATTAATTCAATAATAGATTTAGGGGTGTTACAATTAAAGTATACATACACATATAAAAGGAGTGTTGATTTTATTTTCAATATTGGAATTTTTAAGAAAATATGCAACCGAAAATTTCAAATATTTCATATTCATATTTTGAATATACTTCAAAAGAACAAATTAAAATATGTAATTTTTTATGGCAAGCCTCCCAAATGTTATGTCATGGGAAATAATAACCTTTTGAACCTTATTAATGAGATCAAAAATTTCACTAGTCGTGCTAACCCCAAAGGGGCTGGAATAAGTTATACCTTAATCGTCTTCTACCTTTTTAACTCACAAATGTTCTAAAGAAACTCCACCTCCCACAGGAGATAGAGATGTTGTTGTTTGGTAAAGGCTGGCCAAGCATGGAATCTTTATTGTTAAAAGTGCCTATGAATTTATCACCAATTTAACCAAGGTTACTTCAAACCTCTTATGGGCCACATATAGTATTGGCAAGTTTTGGAGAAAATAAAATTTTTTACGTGGCAAATTACTTATGAGAAAATTGTGACAAACTCACTCAGAGCCAAAAAAATGGTTAACTACTTCACCTCATTGTCCTTTTGAGTGTCACAAAGAGGAGAGCATAATTCATATGCTTTGAGACTGTGAAATAGCAAAATAAATATGATGAGAAATACTAAATCTTAACTTTCTTTAGTTTTTTTTTCAGTGATTTTTAAGTCTAGTTCAAATGAAATTCTAAATCCAACCCTGGACAGGGCATTTTTAGGTGATGGGCTTGGATGCAAGTTTTTAGTTTGGTTTGCCGAGAACTTTGGACCTCTCGATGCACCTATGTCTTTGAAGGTTGAAGTCTCACACCAAATGAGACCCTTCACAAGTGTGCACATCTTCTTCTAGAACAAGTATTGAACAATGAATTGAAGCACTCAACCTTCCATGATGTTTTCATCTCAACTAATATTTGGAGTCCACCACTAACATATAATGTATAGGTTAATGTTGATGGTTCTGTTTGGAATCATCAACAAGGTGGGGTTGCTATTAGAGATAGTACTAGTAAATGACTAATAGGTTTTCATAGAACTTTTGGAACCAACTGGGTAATAGATGCTAAAATTTTAGCCATTAAAGCCGGCCTTGAAGTTTGTCAACAGCTAAACTTCACCAAGATACTCATTTTCCTTAATTCTATGGAGGCTATGACTATGTTGAAACGTGTTAGTGTGTTTGATCACCCGCTGAGAAATGAGATTGCTTTAATTAGGGACTGTATACTCCTCAAGGGTGATGTGGAGCTCTATCTTTCTGCCAGGGACATTGTCAAATGTGCTGATTTCATGGCCAATAGAGGTCAAGGTGGTCCTTGTGAGATGACTATGGTACCATTTGTACCGATTGATTGTTTAACTACATATTTAGAAGACAAGAGCCTAATCTAGTCTCCTTTTGTTTCTCCTTTTATTTTTGCTTTTGGCTTTTTCCTTTTCTTCAAGCTTTGCTTGCCATTTGTAATGCAAGGGAAAAAAAAAGTCTTTTTATGAGCAAGATAAACTAACTAGAAGCTAAAACCGCTAGCCATATCTAAGCAAATAATGACCTACTATCAAAATACAAACCATCTAAAAGAAAATTGGGAGGTGAATTAAATATCATCGAATCAGTGACTAGATGTCTTATTAATGATGAGTAATGAAAACATATATTTATGAGTGTGTGTTACCAATCAATAAGAACGAATGTGGATATTTTTTATTCTATGGGCAAAAAAATAGTTAATAATGAAAAATATAAACCATATACTTATACTAGAGCTTCGCTTTGCCAAGTGTCTGAAAATGATAGCTCAATTTGATAGATAATTTTCGGTAAAAAAAAAAAATTGATTGATAATTCATGGTTGTATGTGAATTAGATAACACTTGAGCCTCCAATTGAATGACATAGTATTTGGCTACTATACGTTGATAATTGTACGTCTTTGAAATATGAAAAAGACACAAATAAAAAAGGCATGTTTGCATGACTCACACTTTATGAGGGAATCGTTGAAATACAAGCGTGTGTTTAATGTTAGATGAAGTTCACTTGTATATTTTCTCTCAAAGGAAATTAGATATTTCTAATAAATTATTGCTAATTAAAAAATATTACAATAACTCAGAAATCTATTGATATAAACCTATATATTGTTGGCATAACTTGTTTAATTATTTTGAATTATCTATATGAAGTAAAAAAAAATCGAGATTATGCATTGCTACCCATTCAATAACATGAAAATATTAAAAAAAAAATTAGTATGTGCTACTAGTTTTCAAAGAAAATTGATGTTGAGAATATAACTAATTATGATTTGAAATGAATCCCATTGAGATAGCATGTGAATCATACAAGTATTTAATAAATTTGATAGATGAATACATAATATTGTTACAATTTATATGTGTGATTGCTAATCTACAACTTGCAAGATTGTTTGAATAAAATATATATCGAGTCATTTAATTCAAAACGAATTGAACATGCAGGTTAAAGATGTAACTTTTAGAATAACTTTTCTTTCGTTATTTCCACAGTACATAAGACAAATAGGGTGTATATTGATAATTTGACATATCTATAAAAATATGTTGGAAGAATATATATGATGAAAATGCAATGTGCATATTTTTGCTAAAAAAACAATATGTGCCATTAATGAGGGTTGAGTCTAGCAGAAAGGGCTAGCCCTTCTCAACATGGCAAATCAAGATAAGCAAGTGCAGGATACTCTACCAACTAAAGTTGGTGAGTGGTAAAAGATTCTATTGAGTAGATTAAGAGGGGTTGGAAGACATTCATATTTAGTATCTAAATGTGCCTCCAATAGAAGGATATTATATCATTAACAATAATCTCACTTGAAAAATTAGTATATTCTACCAACTAAAGTTAGTATGAGAGGTAGAGGCTCTTATTATTTAAACAAGTAGTTGGAGATTTAAACCCCAATCTTTATGTACATAAGAATTTAGTTGGAGGAAGTCTATACATTGGTCACAGTACTTTAGAAAATGTTATATACTATCAAGTACTTTAGAAAATCTTATATACTATCAATGAAGCCTACACATTATACTTTAAAAAGAAGAAGAAGAAATTATTATACTCTATTGTAATAAATTAAAAGAAGTGATGTTATCAGAGGAGTTAAGGAATAAAGATCGTGTTATACTTTTTTTTATTAATGTTTTTCCTATAAGATTTTTCTAGTAAGATTTTTAATGAAGCATATTCAATAAGTGTTGTATACTTTTTTCCTTCACTAGATTTTTGTCGCACTGAATTTTTTTAATAAAATTTTAATGAGGCACAATATTTATTTATAAACACTAAGGGTGAGTATTATGAATATTATATTATGTTTTTCAAGCTTGCAAGGCTAATTAGAGATAAACTAGATTTTAGACCCCGTGTGATACATGAGAATCTTAATCCACATTATTTAAAAGAAATAGAGGGGAGAGTGAAATTTAAATTTTATTACTTTTTTACAAGGACAAGTAAAAATAACTATATTTTTAAATTTATTTAGTAATTGCGGTTAATTGTATTTTTTATTTACAGTACAATATAAGAAGATTTTTTAGTTGTTAGAATACAGAAATTTAAAAAAAAAAACTTGTTTGTGAAAAAAATATAGAGAATTTATTTTATTTTCTAATTTATTATTAGGTTATACTCAAATATATACAATAATTTATTTTAGTTTATATATTAGATCCATGCAAATTAAAACTTTAAGACATATGTTTTGTTTTAGAGTTCCTTTCTTCCTCACCATATAAACAATTT